ACTCTCTCACTGTGTCTTCAAATGCACTCGAAGCCCAGAGACAATTCGACCCATTGAGAGGTCGTTAGAGTGAAAAATAGAGGACTTGTGTGTGAAATTGGCTGTTAATTTGATAAATACTCCACCGAGTAGCCCTTAAATTACTCTGGCAATGCTATGAATAGACATTTTAAAGGGAGAAATCATTACTTCAAGCCCACACGACACTCCCAAATATGTTCCTCTTGACATTCTGACAAGGGCAACTCACAAATTACACCACAAAATCCTCCTCTGCATCTTCTTCTGTCTTACCAAAATTCACAGGAAATTTAATTTCTTCCCATCGCTTCCAAAACACTGTTAATAGATTTATGATTTTTCCGTTTTTCGGTCATCATTTCGATGGTTTTCTTCTTCCATTGCATTTTGCTCGCGTGACTTTGCCAAACAATGATTCAGTGCAGTGAATTTGTGACACTGGAAGCCACAAGTGAAAAAAAACACACAATTATTCTCTAACCCAGATATCAACGTGACTTCTTGGAAGACTAAAACATTCTTCCGGCAACTAAAAAGTGCCACACTTCTTCCAATCGTCCCCACATCTGCAGTAAACGGTATTGAGTTGAGGTCTAAGATTGGAATTCTTCACAGAACATCAAATGCACGTTCTGTCCAATAAGTCATAAGATCGACAGGGATTCTGAGGCTCAGCGTGAACCATTAAATTGCCAAAGATATGACCAATAAATGTGAATCAGAGATGCGCTCGACTTGGAACTTAATTAAAATTATCTCCACCAAAAACGCACCGAAAGGAAGTCATTATCGAAAATGGTTCTGCTGTGGAAATCTCACCACAGAACGGATAATCTGCATTGATATTGACTTAATCCGCACGGCAAATGAACAACGAGATAATAGAGTGATAAGACAAGTGCAAATGTGAGTCAGAATTCACAGAATTCTCAAATTGGACGTCGTTAGTTTTGAAATTACAGTGAAAAATCCCATGCAATCCTTACAAAGGTACCAATTAATATTTATACATTTCTTTATTGCCACTTCCAATTGCGTGTCAGTTGAGAAGAAAACGTTGTGTGACGAAACCATATTCGTTATATGCAAATTGCATTTATTAACCCATCAATTCTTCCTTCGCACGGAAGCCGCGCACACTTGTAAGCTCCGCCCACTGACCATAAACATTGTCTCCCATCTGAAATTGATGAATCTCCAAAAATGAATCATTTTCCTTGGTCACTAATGGGTTAAATAGAACTAAAAGGATCGTTTCTTCAATCACCCATTAAGTTTCATTCCATTTCTCCCCATTTTCAGTGCAAAAGAACCCATTTCTATGACTTATTGTCGACTGATTAACACCCACACAACCACAATCCAACCTTCTGGAAGCGCGGAAACAAAGCGCGGTGACTTGTTAGGAAAAACGTTTCGTGTTACAGAACTCCAAAGTCTGTGTCTCATTCACTTTTACAGCCATCATATTAACCATTCTTGCACTGATCCACAGAGATTCCAACACTCGAAGGTACAAAAGAGACTCAGCAGGACGCTTGGCTGTCGATGGGACACAACTTGAGAATAAATTTACACAATTCTACAGTTAAAACCTTAAAAATCCATTAAGGAGAGCGCGAAGTCTCTTCCCTTTTCTTCCCTATTTCTCTCTGTCACTCGAGTGTGTCTCTGTAGGAAATATGAGTGTGAAAAAAAAGAGTAAAATATCCACTTTCTATGCCATCGTCAAGACGCAGACATCAATGGCAAAAGGGAGAATTTTCTAATTTTAACACTCTAAACGCGTCGCGCCCTCAGTCGTTTCCATTCTCCTGCACTTCTTCTTCTTTTGATGACGCTTCATATGCGAACGCGCGCCTTTCATCAAAGTCAGGACATAAGCCTCATTGAATTTATTCTCGTTACACTCTTCAGCCGACATTCAACACACAATCCACAATCTCTAGGGAGCTAATTTTACTCTTTTCTCTCCATCCTGCAAATTCGCAACACACATTTGCAAATTGTACAAAAATAGCCATAAGAGATTTGTGTGGCTGAGAAGAAGACCTGAAAATTCACTGTGTCTTCTTCTAAACAGTTCGCGAGATTCGCGCGTTGGTGGGAAAAATGCTGGAAAAGAATGTAAACAGGAAATTCAATTTTAGTCTCACATCTTTTCGGATCACCTTTTCTTCTTCTCAGGGATGATTTCATTCATTCTTCTTCTCTTTATCTTCTCACGGGAATTGTCAATTTTAGCAAAACTTTTCGAATTAACCACCTTTTCCCTCTCTCTCTTGCTCTCTTCAAAGACACATTCATAAAAAGGACATTCTTCTCGTCCCGATGGAATATTTCACAGAAATTTTTACCTGAAGTCTGAAAGGCAATATTTCTCGCAAACACCACTTTTTTTTCTCCTCCTTTGCCACTCTCTTTCGGCTCAGCCTTTTATACACCCTTGAGACGATGGGAAACTGACAGACAAAATCCCAAAGCAAGGGCCGTAGAATTACATAAAAATACGTCTCATTTTCAATTTCAATTAACAACATGCAATTCACAAAATATTGCAACCACAATTCAATCGTGTTCGCTTTTCCATGGAGAAACACCGTCGTCCCTTCCACCCAAAATTCATTGACTTTTTTCTGTGCTCCAACTTCTTGGCATTTTGGCATGGCGAGAGAGAAAGAGAAAACGGAATTGAGGCCATTGCCATGTGAGTTCGGAGAACGAGGAACTTATTTGCATTCTCTATCACTGGACGGAATTATTTAGCCACTTTATCTTCAGTCTATAAAGACTTTTGCGAAATACGCCGAGTTAAGGCATTTTGATAAGGAAATTTTCAATTCACATTTGCACTTGGGAAATATTATATTTTGTACGTGAAATTGCTCAATCGACAGATTGAATTCAGGAACTCACAGAAGTAAAAAACAATTGTAAAGCCTAAAATGAATGAATTTTCAAGCGCAAACATGAGAAATATTTGCAGTAAATTCTTTATATCGCAGATTAAAGCTCTTTAACACTGTTTTAGTGAGAAAATCTAAGTTAAGCTTAACATTCATGTGTTTTACTTGGAATTTCTCCAGAAATTTCCGGAAAAGAAGTAAAAAACGCTTAAAATTCTGAGTTCTAATTGCAAAATTTGGCTAATTTCGAGCTTATTAGAAAACTCTTGCGAAATTCTTCAAGACTTTTGAGTAATTGAAGGGAAAGAAAATGCTTTTCAGCTCTCAATGCACGTGATTTTATAACATTTTCCACTGTCTAATTACATATCAATTAAGGCTTTCCAAAAACCCCTTCTTTTTCGCACAAAAAAAGGCAAGTGTAACAAGAAATTCTGTTGTTATACAAATATAAATAATAGTCTTCCCACTCGCGAAGCCAGAGCGAGACAGAGTGGAAAAGTGCGCAACTACAAAACATTACATGACTTCATTTGCTGGGCTTTTGCTGCTTAATTTGGCCATAATTCACTCGTGTGTGAAGTATTTACAATCATTCTTCACTAATTGGTGAATTTGCGAAATAATCATCGGACGCAAATTAGGAAAAAGGTCTCAACTTGAATCCAATACAATCAATCAATCACTATTTTTTATCATTCTAAGCAATTGTGGTCAACTTCCGATTTGGCTGTTGTGCAAAAGAGGAAAAAACAGAGTTTTGGCAAGAAGTGCATTAATCCAGGTGGGAAGACTTGTCTGTCTCTAATGCTTTCAAGACACGTTCAATTGATAATTTTTCGTGTACAACATTCCATTGAAAACACAACGTGCTTTCTGGGAAGAATAAAACGCTGAGACTCTCATTTAAATTCTATCAATTCGCCTCAAGTTCTGGCCATAAAGACGCGAAGACGCAACACTTGATGAATGGCGAGAAGTGAATGAAAAATACTTTCTGGGAGTTCTTTAATCGATGACGGTTACAAAACGCATTCAGCCAAAAACTTCACCGCTCTGCGCGCCTTTTAAACGGAACATGTTTTGCTGTTTTGTTGGGCTGTTCTTTAAAGAGGGGAAGTCGCGACATGCGAAGGGTGGCTTTTAAAAGGTTGGGAAACTCGTCCGGAAGCCAGGTGCAGAGATGGTAATTTTCGGGGCCCGAGCAGAAACCGTTACGAAACCCTGTTTATCACTCGCTCTTATCACTCTTATCATCGTGCGCGGTGGACAAATTTTACGCTGCAATCAGAGCGCGGAAAAACAGCGACAGCGCGTCATTAAAGTGGGTTTTGAGAAGTGAGTCAAGAGTCGTGTTGAAAGTTCTGACCATTTGCAAAGTGCCTCAATATTTCAGGAATCACAACTTGTTTTGCTTTCTCTGCATGAATTTAATGCCGATCAAATTGCGCTGGAGTTGAGAGGCGGCTGTGAATGTGTTTTGTATAACATTTCGCAGAATTTGTACACAAACATGAAGAATATTGTGGCTATGAATTTTCATTTTAGCTTCAATGTTTAATGCGTGAAAGTTTCATTCGACGTGTGCCTCGAAAAGTAGCAAAACTCAAAATCGTCATTCATTCAATTCTAATTTACAAATTTAATTTAATTTAATATAAGTTTTAAACTAATTTAACATATTTTTAACACTCCTTGTTTGACTGGGAATCGCGACAATGCGACCGAAATCTATTGGTAAACAATTGGAATATTTTCCGCTGAATTCCAACCCTGAATATCTAGGCTCCGATGAGACCTAGACCCTAGACTTTGGGTTCATGGAAAGTTCAAGCTTAAGTCTTCAATATTTCCTGACATTTGAGCTCTTTTGCCTCGGAAAAGAGCGTGAGAATTTGAGGACTTTGTAACACATTTTCTAATCCTTCTGCTGCAGCGCGAAGAGCGAGTTTGTCGCTTCTTCGGCTCGCCGGCGAGTTCATTCGACTCTCTTGGGCAGCAGCGTTCTGCAGGTCTTTTTCTTGGGCGCTGCGAAAGGTCGCGAAGAGAGAAAAAGAGGCAAAGAAGACTCACCAGCGCTCGCCAGCGCCAAGAGGCAGAAGAGCACGAAGGTGAGCAGTTGAGATCTCTCGCTCTCCTCCATCTTGTGGTCGCCGTTCGCCCTTCTTCTGGCCACCGCGTGACCCGCAGTCTCTGGATGTCACACTTCACTGGCACTCCGGCGCACTATCCATTGCACGGTGTGATCACGAGAGGAAATGCACGCACACTTTGGCAGGTTTTACACACGCTCGCAACACCTGTGGATTCTCCGCCTTGTGCAAGAAGTCGCGCGCACTTCTCGCCCACTTTTCACCACTTTCCTCACTCACGCGAGCCACTGAATCTTCACGAGGGCATTCAGGGTGCTCCCGAGCACCATTATTGCACTGATCGAGGGTGGAAAATGCCAGGAAAATTGAGGGTAAATTGCTCACGCAGCGCAACAACACGTCTTCACTCTGCGAGATCTTGCGGCAAACTGACGAGGCGCGCCGACGTCAGCCGAAATGCGCGAATGCAGTTATACCCGCTGTTATACAACCGACCGTTGAAGCATTCAACATTCCTGTGAGCTGTGAGTTTTGAAAGACAACGGAGAAAATGCATGAAAAAGGAAAATACTTTTCCGGGGAAGCACGAAGCAATATTTATTGTATCACCGCGTACAATCCATTCTCCGTGCTAGCAAATTAGAAGAAGAAGCCCAGAATCTTCCCTCCGAGATGTTTCCTTCTGGCCTCTTCGTGATCCATAATTCCTCCGCTCGTCGTCAGCACGACGTACCTGAAAGAGACCCACGGAAGACGCTCAGTCACATGCCACAACGCTCTCTCCTTTGGAGGAGGCGCCAAAAGGACACTCACCCGAACTGTCTGGAGGGCAGCAGAGCGTTTGTCCAGTTCTCAATGTCGCGAATCGGCACGTCGAAGCGTGGCGAAATCACGCCGCACTTGTTGAGGCGCCCCGTGAGATTTACCACGATCTTCCCGGATCGGTGGTCGTCCACAATCTCGAATTCGCCAATGTAGCCGTGCTTCATCATCACTGTGAGGAATTTGATGATGACTTTGGAGCACGGCCGGATCAGCACTTGGCGCTTGCCGCGCTTCTCGGCGTTGTTTATGCACTTCAGGGCATCAGCCAACACATTCATTCGCACCATTGTGGCAGCTGTAGACGCCGGAGAGCGTGAAAAGAGAGAAAATGCTGGAATTAGTCCCATTCTTGGGGGCTCCGGAAGATCAACAAACAGAATGAGGTTAGGAGACTTCTCCAGCAGATTTTGCCGTGAAATTGTTCATTTTCTCCATCGCACTGTCCGCATTTCCCTTCAGAGATGTGCAATGTTCATGATTTACGGTATTTCGCAGAGAAATAAGCTGTATTTAAGAGGAAAACACCTGCAGAAGTCCCAACACGACCACAACAAATCTGACAGGACATTCAATCTCATCTCTCAACTATATTTTTCCTCCGGGAAACACGCCTTCTACATCAATCGATGCAGAACACTTTTCTGAACAATTTCACGACAATTTCAGCTGTCTGAAGAGTGTATTTTCCTCACCGTTTTGTGAAAACTCCGGGGACAATCCACGTTTTCTCACAGAACTCAAAGAAAGAAAGATGGTGGCCGGAAATTCCAGTGACAACCTTCCAATGGAAGTGTTGCCCGATCTGAAAGTCACTCCAACCTCACTTTTCGCTGTTGGTAAACAAATTGAGGACGTCCTGTGATTCCTGTGGTTTTGTGGAGTTTCTGGCCATGTCCCGGGAGGAGAAGCAACTGGAGGCACTGCTGGATGCTGTGCTGAATCGCCTGAATGACCTAAAGTTGTCCATTGGGGCGATGATACAGAAAATCGAGACAGAATATGAGACAATCAATTGGCCGACTTTCCTGGACAATTTCGCTCTCATTTCCAGTCATGTAAGTCGATTTTCTGGTCGAGAGGCATCTCTTCATGATCTCCTGGTGTGTTTCAGCTCACTGGCTTGTCCAAGATCATCGCCACGGAGATGGGCGCTCCACTGAGGAATCTCACGGTTCTTCCTCTGCTGCTGTCGCCGGAGCGCGACGAGGCGCTGTGGCAGCTCACGGAGGGCCGCATCCCGGTGTTCTCGCACGACATGGTGCCCGACTATCTGCGCACGAAGCCCGAGCCGACGGCGGAGCAGAAGATGATGGCGCACGAGCAGAAGGCGAACAACCTGACGCCGGAGACGGCGGCCAAGCAGGTGGCGCAGTACCAGAAGATCGTGTCTCACGTGTTCGACATGGTGAGCAAGGCGCGCGAGGAGTGGGAGTCCGACTCCTCGGCCCGCTCTGGCGTGCAGCAGACCAGCAGCATGGCGGACACGCACGCTCTGGTGGCGGCCGTCGGGATGGGCAAGAATCTCAAGGTGAACATCCCGCCGGGCGTGGGTCCCAACGGCCCGGGAGGGCCGCCAGGCATGGTGCCGCACGCCATCCGCCCGCCGGCGGCCATGGCGGCCGTCAGCCCCTCGGGAGGCGTCGGACAGATGGGCAAAGCGCCGTCCGCGATCAAGACCAACATCAAATCCGCGAATCAAATTCATCCCTACGGAAGATAAGTCCTGCGATAGTCGTAAGAAATCACCGCTTTCCCTTAATTTTATTGTAAGATTGTGAAAGAGATGAGGAAGTAAAGAAATTGTCCCTTTTTAACACTGATTCTAGTGAGTTTTGCTGGGAGTTCAGAAGATGCGGTGATTGATGTGCAAAATGACCCTTGATTCGACCTCAGATGATGGTTTTATTAGCTTCTGTTTCACTGATAAGATGCTCTTGTTGCGAAGAGTGACAAAAATACGTGGTTTCCAGAGTCTATATTTCCTCTTTCTTAGAAAACAAACACCAAAGCTTCCAAAAGAATGTTTTTTTATAACGTGATTATGGATATTCCGCAACCCTAAACGAAGTCGAGGCAGTTCAACTGCGCCACCGCGTGGCGGCGGTTCAGAGCTTGCTGGGGCTGTCTAGTCAATCCGCGGCGCACACGATCACGGCCTCCGCCTTCTCCTCCTCCAGCTCCTTGGCCGTGACGGCCAGCTTCTCCTTGCCGAACGCGTCCACGTTCAGGCCCTGCACGATGCGCCACTGGCCGTTCTTCACCTCGCACGGGAACGAGAAGATCACGTCCTTGGGCGCGCCGTAGCTGCCGTCGGACAGGACGCCCATGGACACGAAGTCGCCGGGCGGCGTGCCGTGCCACCAGTCGCGCATGTGGTCGCACGCCGCGTTGGCGGCGCTCATGGCGGAGCTCATCTTGCGCGCGCTGATCACGGCGGCGCCGCGCTTCTGCACCGTGGCCACGAAGTCGCCCTGCAGGAAGGCGTCGTCGCCCACGGCGGCGAAGGCGTCCTTGCCGGCCACCGTGGCGTTGCGCGCGTCCGGGAACTGCGTGGAGGAGTGATTGCCCCAGATCACCACGTTGCGCACCTGCTCGATCGGCACGCCGCACTTGGCGGCGATCTGGGCGCGCGCGCGGTTCTGGTCCAGGCGCGTCATGGCCGTGAAGTTCTCGCGCGGGATGCTGGGCGCGAAGTGGGAGCAGATGAAGGCGTTCGTGTTGGCCGGATTGCCCACAACCAGCACCTTCACGTCCTTGCGCGCGTGCTGATCGAGCGCGGCGCCCTGCACCTTGAAGATCTTCACATTGGCGGCGAGCAGATCCTTGCGCTCCATGCCCTCCTTGCGCGGCATGGCGCCGACCAGGAAGGCCGCCGCCACGTCCTTAAACGCCTCCGCCGGGTCCGCCGTGGGCACGACCTTCACCAGCAGCGGCAGCGCGCAGTCCTCCAGCTCCATCACCACGCCGCCCAGGACGCCCATCATGGGCGGGATGTCGAGCAGGTGCAGGATGAGCTTCTGCTGGCGCCCGAACACGTCCCCCTTGGCGATCATGTGCAGCAGCGAGTAGGCGATCTGGCCGGCGGCGCCGGTCACCACCACGCGAATTGGTTCGGCCTGGAATCCAGAAGGCGACAAGGTCAAATGAATGTTAAGCCCGCCGAGCGCGTCGGGAATGCGACCCGCGGGATTCCGCCCACTTGGCACGCTCGCGGCGCCTCAAAATAGACCGGGAAGGCGCTTTCCCGGCTGTTGCGTAACTCACCATGTCTTTCTGTGGCGGAGAAGAGTTGCGGGCGAGTCCAAGAAGCGAGCAACGGAGTATAATTGAGGCGAGATGTGATGGATGAAATCCGGGGAGAAGACAGACGTCCAACTGGAAGACTGGAGCCGATTCAGGGCGAAAGTGGGGCGATTGGAAGGTAAACTATGGGAAAGTGTCATCATTGGAAGTCGAACAAATTGAAATTCAACCGATTTAACCCTTCAACGGTGACCCTAGAAATTGCAGTTCAGGAAATTGAACAATAAAAGCCTAATTAATAAATAAGTAGAGAAAAATATTTTCTTCTCATTTGCAGTATTTTGTGGTGTGGAAGTGAAGTTCTTCTGGGGTAAAAAATAGAAAAATTGTCATCTTTGGAAGTTCGCATGCCGAGAATTCCAAATGTCAAGATAACACATTTTATTGCTTCTCAGAAGTCTTCTTTCAAGTGCAATTTCACAATATTACAGGCAAGACAGTGTGATTTTCTTTCTCCTAAGTGATTTACAATAAACCTTAAGTTATTCTTCAGTAAGATTAATTTTTTGTTTTCTGTTTAACTCTCGATTTAACCCTGGATTTAACCTCTTCGACAGACACAAACATGAGTAGCATTTTGGGCTGTGAATACCAGTCGGAAGTCACTGCTGACCACGGATTTGAGTTCCAGGACGAGCTGCTGCTGCACTTGTGCCTCAGGATGACGGAATTGAACGTCGAGAGCTTCTCAGTTGGCCTGGAAGTCAAGGAGTTCCCCAAGTTCGACGATGTCGTTGTGGAATTCGTGCTCTCCGGCAACAGAAAGTGTCTGATCTTCATTCAAACTAAGCATATAATTGAGCAGACCAGGAAGATCTTCCCTGAACACCTCTGCAGCATTGGCGAGTGTGTTAAAAGCTCGAGGGATTTGTGGAAGAATTTCAATCTCCAGAAGTACATAAAAGCCGTGATGAACGAGAGTTTTCAGGACAAATTGCACTCTGCTGAGGATTATCAGCTGCGATACATCATCCTGACCAATCTGGCGTTCGTGAACGACAAGGAGTCAACAGATGAAGAGAATAATGACCTCGAGGGACTCTTTGAGAGACTGACAAACAGAGGAGCGCAAATTCTCCGATTCAACAGCAAATGCAGAGAAGAAATCCAGGCGATAATCGATAATATAACCGGCGATTCGAAGGAAAAACAACAAAAGCTCACTGATATGGGATTAGATTACTTTCTGGATCGCCTGCGACTTGTCGTGCGATCACCGAACTTGAGCAATTTGGCAGAAATCAATGATAAGATTCTCTGCAAGAGCTTCAAAGTGTTCAATCGAGAGTCTTTTGCAAAAGTCTTCCGGAAGAACTTGATCGAATTCACTGCCATCGACAAGTCGAAGCGTCGCAGGACTCTCGATAAGACTAATTTACAGAGGATAATCTCCCGATCAGTTGTGGAAGTTGACTTTCCCACCATTAGCAAGTCGTTTATTGATGAATTGCCGAATTGGATTCACTTTCGAGTGCCCGTGATGAAGAATCTTCAAGCTGTCTTGATGAAGTGCAATAAGATTTGCAACAAAATAGGCCAAATATTGGTGCTACTAAAGGTTTATGAAGCTCTCAAGTTGACTAATCCGAATGTTCTTGTGATTCCTCACTCGAAAATCACTGAAATACACATTGAAGCTCTCAAAATGTACGGCAAAAATATTATTCTCTATCTTGACGACGATGGGAAAGAGTTTCCAGCGGAGATAAGTGAGAATGCGAACGTCTTCTTCATCGGAAAGGATCTTGAGCTCAAGCTGCGCTATCGATATGATGAATTGACGGAAAAGTGCAGAAATAGATTAATGCAAATTCAGTTGCAAGGAGTGAAAATTAAGATTCCTTACGACGTTGCGTGGCAAGATGATCCGAATTACACGCTTTTGATTGACGAAGTGCTGACAAGATCGGTGAATAATCAAGACATTTCTCTGGGAAGGAATTTGCCTCGTGACAAGATTCCAGCATTTTATATTGAGAAATTTCCCTTCACATCAGCGCAATTGGATGAGTTGATCTCAGAGGATCGAAGACAGGTGAGATTGATGATCTGTCCGACTATTGTAATTGGAGGACCAGGATTTGGGAAATCCTGTGGCTTGCAGAGAGCCGCGATGTACTTGAAGGAGAAATTTCCCACTTATTGGATGGAATTCATTGACTTGAAGCTATTTTCCAAGGCGTTCTTCGAGAGAAAATCCGTTGTATTCACAGAATCCGAAGCTGTGGACTTCTTCATGGACAATCTCGTCTCTTATTCACCGGAAAATGTCAATCTGGAGAGAAGAATGTTGAATCTCTACTTCAAGAGCGAATATCCAAGGATATTCATCGCCTTTGATGGATTTGATGAAATCTCTCCGACGTACGAAATATTGGTGCTGAATCTCATCAAAACTCTCAGCCAGAAGAACATCGCGTGCTTCCTCACCAGTCGACTTCACTGTGAGAAAGTCTTGGCAGAATTGAGAGAATTGAAGCACAGATTCAAAGTGATGCGAATGGAATCGTTCAACATGGAGGAAATTGAGAGATTCACCGAAGAGTTTTGGCGTTGGAAATTGCCTGATTGTGGTGTGGAGAGCATCAAATACTTCCAGCAACAGTTCTTCGCGCATAATGCACTATTTAAAGGCATCGCCGAGACTCCGATGTTTCTTCTGATGTTGGCTAAAATCGCAACGCCATTCTGCGAATCAGTTTGCAAGGCGACAGAGACAAATTCAGATGGTGAATTGGCTGACTTTGATGACATCAATCTGTGGACAATTTACGAGAGAATCTTCGAAATGTCCTTCGATCATTTCTATAACAAGGAAGGCATTGATTCGACATCAAATCTCGCCATGGTGAAGAGGAAGCAAGATATGGAAGTGGTGAGAAAGATTCACACTTACTTGGCCGTGAAGGAGTTGCAAATGTCGGATATGATATCAATAGAAGCCGACGTGAGCAATGATGTGGAGATCCTGGCGCGAGGATTCGTCTCGCGGACAGACGATGGAGAGTTCTTCTTCGTTCACAGAACCTATGCGGAATACTTCTTCGCGCGCTGCCTCGTGGACGAGATGAAGAAGTACAATGAGACAGTGATGAAGTATTTGACGATGAATCTTCCTTCTATTCCCAGTTCACTGATCCTTGAGTTCGTTTGCGGTCTCGTGCTGAAGGAAATCCTTGGAAATCCAAGATTTATCGAGCGAAAGATGATATTAAGTGCAGATTCCGAAATGTTAACGCACTTTAGCATATTCTTCCAAACACTTCTCTTCTTCGTCTGGAGGCATTTCATGTCTGATATTTATGCTGATAAGATTTTACTGGTTAATGAGTTTATTAATAGTATTTTACAGGATTCTAATTTGAGGCATTTTGAGTTTAGTCTGTACTATAAATACCTCGATGATCGCTATATTTATATAATTACGCAGCAATTGATATTCTTAGTTGCACATCCAATGATATTCTTTGGCGAAGACGTTAAGAGGACGAGTTTGAGGAGTTTGGACAGATTTCTGGGTAGAAAAGTCTCAGGATCAGACTGTGAATTTCTAGAACAATTCTATGAATCACTTGTGAATAATGAACTTCTGACCAAGGAGGAAATGATAGAAGAATATGAGATTGTCTTGAGAAAATTCCTCACGACGACTTATCACAGAAGTAACTTGTTCTTCTCCTATTTCAAACTCAAGTGCATCAATTACGACGAAGAGCTGAATTATGTTAAAGATCTGCTAAGGAAAAATCACTGTTTTCAAGAATTTGACACAAATTACATTTTGCACGTGGCGCTGATGGAAGAAATCAACAATGATTCTAGCAATTTCCTTGACAAATTGACTGTGTTCATAAGACAAGAAGATAGAGTTTATCAGCTTCTTGCGCCATTTGAATTAGATAATAAGTGTCGAAAAGACTTTGTCGAAAGGATCGTGAAAGCATTTTATAGAAAGAATTGTAATTTTATTTGTAACAAAAACAATTCAATTTTGTATTATTTGTGGAAAAATGATAAATATTTCCTAATGCAAGATATCCTGACTTATCTGAAGGATGAAGACTTCGGAGAATTACTCGAAAGTCCGCATTTTGATGGGAAATCTTTTGTGGAATATTTCGAAACGGCAGAAAATGGAGATTATGTCAATGAAGCATTTATCATGCACGTCTTTAGAACATATAAAATAGACGTAGTGCTTGAATTGGTGTCTCCATGCTCAGATGAGAACATTCATCAGGTGATAAGAAGAAATCTGAATCTCTGTCTTACATTAGGAAATCAAATAACCGCCGAAGAGGAGAAACAATGTCCAATAGAGCAACTTCTGAGGCGAATTATGAATGATATTTTCGAGTGGAAGATGAAAAAGGGTCACAAAATACTCTTTCTTCACACAATTCTCAGCACTGATTTCAAATATGGCTGCCGAAATGCTCATGAAGTAGTTTTTAAGTGGCTTTTGCAGACGCAAAAGATGCAAGTTTGCTATTCTGAATTGACTGATGTGAATGACGAGGGAAATTCGCCATTACACATCGCCGCATCGAGGAAAGTGTTGAGCTTCTTTGAACATCTTTTTCGCCTCTTTGACGACGGAGATCAAGAAAAACTGTTAAATCTTATGTACATAAGAAACAAGAAGCGTCAAAACTTCCTGCATTGCTTCCCGGAAACTGAAAAGACTGAAGATATTGAGTTTATTGTTAAATTCTACGTCAAGATCAAAGATAGAATTTTAGGATCAAAAGCATCACATTTAGAGAAATTACTCTTCCAACAGGATGCGAACGGAATGACTCCTTTTCACGAGAAATCCTTCAGTTTCTTCACCAAATTCATCCACTTCATCGCTTTAGACAGAAGAGATGAATTGCTGGAAATTAAGGACAATCAGGATAGAATGCTTTCACAGAGATTTAGGAAGATGCGGAAAGAAGATCTGGAAAGGACAAATGCGTTGTGATATATTTTATTTCTTAATAAAGCATATATATTCCGTTGTTAGATGTCCTTGCTTTAGTAGGCGTCAGCGGACTCGGGATCAATGGTGTCCTGGCGGAAGGTTTCCACTTCGGCCTGACTGTCGGCTTGAATGAGTTTTCCCCTGGTGTTGGGCTTGGGATTCATCAGGACGAAGGGGAGTTCAGCTGACACTTCCCCACCGAGAGCGCCCAGGAAGAGCTTCACCTTCACGGCGTAGGACACGATGATCCCGAAGGCGTCTCTTTGTTCGGGATTGGCGAGCAGCGTTGTGGACGCCAGGCTGCCGTCAACGCGCTTGAATTGTCCCTCCAGCGCGATGCCGCGGCGGAACTTGTTGGAGCTGATCACCGGCATCAAGTACATCACCTTCTGCAGACTGGAGCCCGGCTGGATGGGGCATCCCTCGCTGGTCTCCATCGTGGCCACGGTGTTGCGATACTGGCCGTTCTGGAACAGCACCACGTCGACGCCCTGCTGCACCATCGCCTTGATCTTCTTCACCACCTTGTTGGAGTTGTTGCGGATGCAGATGTTCACGCCAATCCGCTCGCCGTGGTGATACAGCTGCTTGTCTAGCGTCACCTCCAGCTCCAGCTCTCCTGGGCTCAGCACGAAGTCCTTGCGCACCACCGTGCATGGCTGCGCGCCTTGCTTGGTTGGCGCGTACTGCACCTTGCGAATGCCCAGCGTCACGGTGGATCTGCGGTGGGTTCTGTCGCTCTCGGAGTCCCCGGAGAAGATCTTCACGAAGTACTGCACGCCGCACGGGTCGCCCTCCTCGTTGGCGCCCTGCTGGAGCGTGATCGAGGCCGGGGCGTTGGGTTGCAGGGTGAAGGTGAAGGGATAGGCGTTGGGACCCAGTTTCTTCAGCAGACGCTCCTGCAGCTTGGTCAGCGAGGGGTTGCTCTTCTCCCGGGGAAAGAGCAGCTCCGAGGCCAAGTAGAGCTCCTTCTGGAAGTTGAGTCCCATCACTTCGTCCTCTTCGCGGCCATAGCGGAAGGAGCAGACGATCTGTCCGAAGATCCTGCGCTGCTCCCGCACGTACTCGTCATCCAGCACAACGACACCATCTGAAAGACATCATCGAGATCACAGGCTTCACAGCTTCATCCTGAGCTCTCACCGATTGGCTCCACGGCCGATAGATGATCCACAAAGTCCCGCTTTCCCAAGTAAAGGGTGATTTTTCCATTGGGCGAGGACTTCTTAAACACCTTGAAGTTCACCACCATTTTTTCGCCTTTCTTCACTGCTCTAAATTCACGAGAAAATTCAAGACACTTTTGAACGTCTCCGGGCTCGAGCGGGGTTTTTATACAAACCCTTCTGCCTTTGAGGGAATCCAATTACACCTACTGCATTTCTACGGATTCACTTTGTGGGTGTTGCGAAATTGAGGTGGACAGAAGAAGATTTCACTGGCATGCAGAAAGGAATGCACAAAAGTCCAAAATCAATGAATACGCGGCGTAACCTTTGCAAACATCAATAAATTTAATTAGGTTCGCTACGTAAGGGTTTTTTCCTCTATGCGTCACGGTTTTCTTCAATTTCAACTGCCAATGAGTCAATCGGTTCTAAGAACATTTTGCGTCTTATTTATCTGTGTGACAGAGTTGAATATAATTAATTGTGTGATCCACCGAAAGAGACTTATTTAGAAAACACTCATTAATAATTCTTCTGTATTTCCAATACACTGTGGCGCCTTGTTTCCATTGACATTCATTAAATAGAACAGAATGATCAACATTTATACCGCGACTCTCAATTGTATTGTGAATTGAGTGTGAAGAAACAGCGATTTCAAGTCCAATTCCGCTGCTAAGAATTCATCTATTTGCTTTCCGCAAACAGTTTTGCATTTCATGGGAAGCGCAAGATAAACAACGTGTCAGCGGCAAAAAAGTTAAAATTCTTATGCAAATATTTATGTAATTGCTGGCGATATTGTCCGGATTACAGTCTCAGTGCCGTAAAAGTGCAACATTGCCAATAATACGGGCTGAATTGTTCAATTTCGCGCACGATTAGCGAGAAATATTGGCAGATTGATCCAGTAATTAGCCAAGGAGAGCTTGTGAGCAGTTTTGGAGGCTCGTCATTGCACGCGGAGCTTTCATTGGTCAATGCGCGGAGGCAGAGTCGCGCTTTGCACTCGAAATGCCTCAAAATCACCTTCAACCGCCGAGAGAGCTTTCGCGCGCGCCTCTGACGCAATATATGCTCAGGCGAGAGAGTAAAGGTGTAATTTATGCAAATCACTTGCGCTACAACTGAGCAAATTGTGAGTGTCACAGACGGAATTTCAAGCGTGAAACATTTGTAGAATTGTAATACAAGCGTCAAGACACGGTTTTTCTCCTCTTCTGCTTCTCCTCAACTCGAGAGCTCACGAAGACTTTGCAGATAATCACCTTCCATTGCGGGGTCGAGTTATTTTCATTCCAATGCTCGTTGGAAAGATATATATTTTGTCGAGATTGGAAGAAAAGAAGAGTCGCAAATCGCTAAAATAAGCGACATTCCTTAAATTTAGCACATCACGAGTTTAACGTCTCCGAATTCCCTTGACTCATGTCGCTCTTTTCGCTCTTTTTTTTATCGAGACTTATCCGATTTATCTTATCACATTCGTGTGCGACATGGCAGAATTGGGAATTTCACACGTCTTTCAGTTCAATTAACACCTGCTGCCAACTCGTTGTGACGCCTAATTCAATTACAGCGAGAAAACTCATCCGTTGGTCTACCAATTATCGACTTTAGTCATCCTCCATCAGTGATTTACGAGGAATTCTGCATAATAGACATTTCGAAGTGTTACTATGAATTCTGTTTCTTATTTGCCATTCATTTGGCTTTAGCAGAAATTTGACCGATTTCGGCAAGTCACCTGAAGACTTCGATGGAATTTCCAGAATTTTCTATTGCAATATTTCTGGATGTTACACGTGTTAGCGCTCAATCAAAAGAGCGATAAATCTTATCGCAATTCATTGTGATTCTTTACCTATCAAGTTCACTTCCCTTCCTTATCGCGCGCGGCCCTGATAAACCGTCACTCTGCAACTGTGTCAATTGCGCGAAAAATTGAGTGTTTAGTGCAAAAACTCCCTCATCCCTCTGATTACCCAATATGTATGTGTACATAGCCAAAAAAGACATCTCGTGACACATTTCGAGAACCTCCACAAAAACGCCCAGAGAACAATTCCTCATTTGCGTCATGTCACATGTCGCGTTTGCACGCGTATCGCTCAATATATTTCGTCTTATTTATTATTTATAAATACCACCAAGTAGAATCTGAGGCGAGGAAAAAATCTGTCTGTTTTTTTTGTGTACATTGTAAGAAAACTCAAGGTTTCGATTTTCGATGTCACTCTTCGTGCGAAATTGGCGGGCGCAAATATTGTGGCGCGCAGCGCTTCCTTATTCATCAACATCTCCAAGGCGATGCCGCACAGGGTCAAGTGGTTTGCCTGTCCTGGCTGGGGTTGTGACAGGGGCTCGTCAGGCGCCAGGCGATCCAGAGTGCAGAAAAAAGTGGGTGTGTTCCGATGGAAATCTCACCACGAATCCCACTTCAATCAGTCATTAAGCTTCTGATCGCGCGGCGTGTCTTGTAAGTGTGTTGCATTGGGCGACTGAAAATATGCGAAAAGGCACACATTAAGCTGGTCTCTTCTGATTCAGTAATTGTACGTCTATTTATAGCCAACACTCATTACAGCCCGTGGCATAGGAACACACATAAGTCAATTTTCTCGCCTCGCGTCGCCGCCGAACCGCCACGAAGACGGCCCCGCAGCGGAAAAAAAATTGATTAGATGACCTTCAAGTATTAACGAATTCTCTCTGGCTTTGGGGCGAGAGAGGGTGGCTTTTGGGTGGAGATTGCCCCACTTTGTGGCCGTCGCGCCCCAAAACGCACCCGCGACGATCGATTTTCGACCAACAGTTGGTTAACGCTGGATTTGTGGCATTTCCCTCCTTTTTCGCCTTCGTTTTTCATCCATTTAACACCACAGTCGTGCCTCACTTCCAAGTGGATTGTGTGTCGCCGGCGACGCTGTGATGCAACTTTTCATGAAATCTATTAGGACACGAAAGGTTCAGGGCGCGCGAAGACGTTTGCAATTCAGACACTCAATTGGGAGACATTTTTAAAAGATCTAAGCGTCATATTCCATTTGCTTCTTTTTCTATTTTGAAGTTATCGACAATTGAGTTATTGACAATGCATTTTAATCAAGTTTTGGCACAATTTTGAGGGGGGAAATGATTAAAATCGACAGTCTAAAGACTAATTAGTCCATATCAGTGCTATTTTTTCTCTAAAATCATGTTGAAAAAAGGAAAATGCACGCAGGTTATGTCGATAAGTGTCGGTAAGTTCAATACTTATCAATATTTCATTTTTGGCGTGAATTATAACCAAGTTTTAACACAATTATGAGACTAATTCATTCATATTTGACAACATCAGTCTTATTTTTTGCTTAAAAATCGTAGTTAAAAGAAAATTTCAGGCATCTTCTGTCGATAAGTGTCGACATTTCATTTTTGGCATGAATTTTAACCAAGTTTAACAGAATTTAAGACCAATTTCGCCTGAAATGGTGGTAAAAAGGAAATTTCAGGCAGTTTGTGTCGATAATTGTCGACATTTCAATGATAGTGTCATAACTCCCTAACCCAGATGTTCCACATGAAGTGTTTCACGTTGAATTTCCCAACGCGAGTTGCAGTGAAACTTGTCAATTTGTCCTTTCAAGCACGATTCTCGGCTTGAGATTAAGGAAGCACTTTCGAGTGTTTCTCGTGTTTCTTGTGTTTGTTGGCGTGAAACTTTCGGCGCGCCAGGCGCAATGTTTCAGTGAAACGCAACCCTGCTCGTGACTCAACTCGGCTGAGTTTGCGCACAACCACAGCGACATTCCGAGTGTAGTTTGGGCCGCGGAGGGGCGCCGGGGGAGTGCGGCTGTAGTCTGAGTGGCGGTTGAGCACGAAAATTGACTGTGGGCCGAGTCAGTAAACTGGTCAGCGCTGTCCCGTGCAGAGTGTGTGCTTCCTTGTGGCGTGCTAGTGAATTGCCGTGACAGAGTTGTGCGCCAGAGGCGGAATCCGCCACTTGCCCAAGAGCGAGACTGCCCGAGAGCGGAGAGGCGCAGAGAGACCGGGTGGTTGTGCACAACACTTGGGCCGCAGCGTGCGCGCAATTGACTCCAAAGTGGTGGTGGTTCGGCATTGATCACAAATCAAGCCGAGATCCAGCGCCGCTGCCAAGTCAGTTCAACAGTCACTGTGCTCCAGAGTGGACGGAAATCTCTCGCCAGACCAAGACCTGAGTCCCGTGCTTCAAGCCAATAGTCTCGCGTTCTCTTCTGTGGACACTTCAACGAGGGATAAAAATAGCCACTCTCGACGTTGAGCTTTTTTTAAAGCCATCGGCACGCATAATAAATTTTATCGGGTTTCGCTCCTCCTGTCGCTCTTGCCCATTTCTCTCCTTCCGTCGTCACACACTGTGAAAATTTATTTTGAGACTTGTGACGGGGGAAAAAAAGCGGAGAAAAAGCGGGAAGCACGAGAGATTTCGGTGGTGTGCTGAGCTCACGCGAAATTCCTCAGCAGAGCAGAGAGTGGCCACGAGACAGTGAGAGATTGAACCCTCGCAGTGCTAATCGCGCGATTCTGCTAGATCGTCGCGATCCAGCGGACTGATAGTGGTTGATAGGCCAAATAGCATCGCGCTGCTAAGCACTGTAATTTGAATAATTTATGAGCAGCTGAAGAATAGACAGCGCGGTGTGTGGAAGTGAAGCAAAAAGACAAGGTTCTCTCTATGCAAATCAAGCTGTAAAAATAGTCACAGATCGAGAAAGTTGTCGATCATATCGGAAAGTTGTGTGCCGTGCATCGGAGACGACGTTGAACCCTTGCCTAAATAACAAAATAAATATAGGAGGCTCGCCATAAAACCACAAAGTATCAATTAATTAATTTCTCAAGACTCGTGAGCGCTTTGGAAAATAGCATTTACTGCCTGCGAGAGGAAGGTAATGTGGCCATTTTTTCATACTTTATACTCTACTCAACTCTCCGACACTCCATAAAAGTCACCTTTGCGATCACTCAACTGAAATTGCGACTTTAATTAATTTTTCCAATATTGCCGAGAAGATGTTTCGACGATCGCCAATTTTGATAATGCCACAATTTCTTTCCCATGTCAATCAAATATCGCCAGACAGACAATTTTTCCCTCACTATCAAGATCACACAAAACGCGAATGACGATCGTGAAAATGGCAATTTTATGCGCCAACTCTGCGCTTGGCGCGAAGATCATGATCAAATTCCAATGCGCGCGATGCATATTTCTCAAGGATCGCATTTGAACATCAATTAATTTGCTCTCGCGCGCGGGGAGAGAGCTTTTTTCCAAGCCCAACAGCTCGCGCGCGCGATCCTCAATTAATTGCCTGAGCTCAACCTTTTTCGAAGCTTAATAAGTCTCTTGTTGTATTGTGTGCAAAAACAAGTTTTGATTGAAATGTTGTTGCAACAAATTAATTCAAGTCGCAAAATGTGATCCAATAAAATCCCATCGATCAAATCCAGTCGCGTCTAGACACAGTTGGATTCATGCATACCAATTATTAACCGGAAAATTATTCATGAGTGTCTCTTTTCCTGCAGGCGGACCACTTCTTTCCCCCGCGCGCGCCATCAGCCAGCATCAGCATGTCCACGGAAAAGTCGCCCATTCGTCGTGTCACTGGTAAGGACTTTGGCTTTGAGCTTCGCGGCGCGCGTGGGCTTTCAAGAGAGCCTTGAAAGCACAAGTGCGCGGCGCACTTCTCGCGCCTCATTGAGATATTCCGGAAAGATCGAGACATCCGGATGCGAAAGGTGTGGCGCTCTGGCCTTAAGCAGTTCCAACTGCTTTTCTGCACACTCGGCGACCCTTTGCAAAACCAACGATAAGCACTGGTTGTGCAACATTTACTTCGGCCGGCCCACGAAAAAAATTGGGGGCGCGTAGAAGGAAAAATTGTGCTTGACGCACATTTTTCGCACTTTTCCCTCTGACGTCAATTGCTCATCAGCGAGCTGTCGAAAAAGTGTCCAACATAAATAGTTTTGGGCTGAAGTTGAAGGAGGAACAAAAACAAGGAGATCAATTTTACTCACATTACTCTATTTTTCAACTCTCAATCGAGCAAAAGACTGCGTCTCAGAATACAATTTCAGAAAACTTAACCCTCTTCAGACCGTGAGAAGATCACGAAGATCTTTTTCACAGAAACACACTTAAAGACAAACAGTAAACAAGGGTTTGTTCAAGATGCAAATTGAAATAGAAAGATATTTTATCTTGTTATGCCTTCAAAATTTATTTAAAAATCAATAAAAAGCGAATTTATCAGCTGAAAAACTTCCAAACGCGAATAAATAGACAACATTGCTTAACTATTCGATTTATAATCGGATATTTACGGTTTTACGCAAGGTTTTACAATAAAAATGAGTGTGAAACTGGAAAAACCTCCGAATTTTTACACATAAAAGAATCTTTTTAAGAGAATAAGAGAAGAACCGTAAAGTGTCCTTTAATCGCTCAGTATTCTTCTTAAACTTAACCTCAAATTGTCACGTTCTTAGAGACTTTATAAATGATCTCCAAACTGTTTGAAGTAATTCTCTCAATGCTCTAAAATCTATCTTCAGACCTAAAACTTCTCCCAACGAGACAATTTGACACTCAAAAAATACATTTCCTCTTAATTTTCCACTCTTTTGCTCAAAGTTTCACACTGAATTCGCAACGACGGAAGATGCTGAAGCATTCAAAATCCATATTAACAACCTCTTGAGCAGTATATGAAAGCAACGAGAGATTCTCTTCCTTCTGTCGTTGAAGGGTTAACACACAATCACGACCATTTGAATAAGTCCGCATTTGAGTGGTTTGTTATCAAAGCCAACACAATTTCCGTCTCACCATGAACATTTCTCAATTGCTCGAGCACGAGAAGATTTTAATCGGCGGCGAAATCTTCCGTAGGCCAATGAAGAATGGATTCGCGGGCAGAAATGAATGAAATTCTGTGTGTGCGAAACGCGCGCTTTTAAAATTCACAAATCCACGTGCTGTCGAGATGCGACGTCACAAACTTGAATTAGGCGCGTTTATGCGTTCGCGGTCTAAATTTAACAAAGGAGGAAAAGAGAAAAAGAAGAACAGATAAGAAGGCATAGTCAAGGTCGAGGCGATCGGAAAGTGAAAATCACTCACAAACCACTTTCGATATCGAAACTTCTCGATAATCCCTGGGAAGGGTAAAAATTTATACAGCTGAGAAATTTTCCATGGAATATTTTCCGATTGTGAAAAGTGGACGGCGCGCGCGAGATTAAAGAATTCCTCCTTAACCTCTGGCATGACTGTGAAATTAACATCTTTCGGCAATTTTTCAGTTTATTCTTAGCTTAATGGCACTGCCTTTTTTGTCAGCTTCCCGCATTTGAATGGGGTCACGCGAGGTTATCGATGCTGACCGTTTCGTCCACCCCGAATGACTGTCTCATTGTCCCGCGATAGTAATTAATTTCGAATTCACAAACACACACACAATCTTCAGAGCCGCAGATAAACCTGTCTTTTGTCCGCTACACCGCACTTTCTGCATGTCACACGAGATTTACGGCGATCCAGTGAACGGTTCGGAATGGAGACGTTTTTGGGGGTTCGCGAATCTCGGAATTTATACATCAAAATCGTTTCGATTTTGGAAATCGCGCATGCAAATTAATCACACAATTATTAGATTCAAGGCGAAGATGATACGCCAGAAATTTGTACACCACACAAAAGGTGGTTTATCTAAACCAGAAGACAAGAATATCAAATTCAATGCTCGTTAAATTGAAAATGTTGCGTTAAAATGGCTTGGAAATTCCCTAAATTCAACTTAAACATCTTCTAGTAATTATTTTCTGAATATTTCACTTGATTTCATCCGTTTTTATTGTTATTTTTGACTGAAATATGACAAAATTATCTTGAAATAATAGAAAAATATATTAAAGAAAAATCTATTCAAATCCAAAATTATATTTTTGGGGTCTGAATCTGAATCACAGTAAAGCACGGAGTGAATTTGTTGATAAAAAGCAGCTTTTGAGAAGCAATTCTAACATTTCCAAATAGACGCTTTTCTCAGAACTGAGAAATCTCCCGAAATTAGTCATTAGCCTCCTTAAGCCGCCGCATTCCGCGAAGCCTTCCTCAACTGATTGACACCATAAGATCGCGTGAGAACTGCCAAGTTCGAAATTGTGCTAATTGCCGGTCAAAGAAGCGCCCATTGCAAATTGAGTTTGAAGGAAAAACAGGGAAACAATGTCTGCAATGTGCAACATTTGCCATTCAAATTCCCTCCTGTAATTCTCGCATTTGCCTAATGTATTGGCAAACATTGCATAACATCCAGCGACTCTCTCATTATGGATGTGTTTTTCCTCCGGAGACTCCACCATCGTGAGTGCGCGCGAGGCTCCGAAAAAGAGAAACTGGTTGAGTGCCGGTTCTAGCTGGCTTTCGAAATAGAATCGCGCGCGCATTTTTCTCAAGATGACCGAAGTGTGTTTGGTGGAAAATTACCGGCCAATAGAAGCTTCTTTTTTTCGGCCAGATCATGCTTGAATTTTCCGCACGAACGCTGAATGGAATTCCAATTGTGTGATGTTTTTTTTTTCTGACGGCGGAAATTTATTGTTATGCTGGCGATCCACCCAGAAACATCCGTGTAATTTAGCTGGTATTTAGATGCTTTCTCAAGGTCTTGGATTTTGCAACAATTGCTGGAATTCACATATGTGTTGTTCTAATGCAATTTGTTGTGTGGAAAAGTCACAGAGATTAGTCCGATCGACGGTGGAAAGTCCAGAAGCTGCGCGCCTCAACTTTGATCGTCGCGCTCTGGAGTGTGGTGGAAATGCGTCAGCATCTTTATTATCACATAGCTGAAAAGTCACTCTTTTCGCATTCATGCTGTATAAATAGTGTGGCGAATGCGTGGTTGTGCTTGTGTGTGCGAAAATGGGGGCTCGTCCATGAGGCATTCGAGAAATCCACATCAGCAGCAAATACAAACGCATGTGCGCCAACTTATAAAAAGATCACGAGAGTTCAGACGGGCGACGATAGTTTTTAATTAATGGCCTGAGGCGCGCGCAAGTGCTTTGCCTCCAACTATGCAATGATGCCATCTCTAACCAATTTGCCCCCATCGATGAGATGTTCCAGAACAAATCCCGACAGAGCGCGGCTGTTCCTCCACCCAATTTCTATCCTCTTGACAAATTGACAATTGATGCACAATTGCCATGTGTGTGAATTGAAACGAGATTTCTGCTAATTGATATGATCTTGACATGATAAATGGATGCGCGATCGACATTATCTCAGTTGAGACGCACATTTTCCACACACTCATTGAATGCCAAATTCCCCATTAAGACACTCTAAAACTCTTCCACCGGAAGGTCAACTGTTGAGACACGCTTTTATGGCGTCTGTTAAACGGTTTTTCCAGACACTATTTTACGATTTTTCACTATACGCCAAAGTCGGTCAATATCCGAAGTCGTAAAATCTTAACCTGTGCGGGAAAGCGACCAAAGATCGGTTTAAACCTGACTCAGTCAAGGGGTTTTCCGAAAAAATGGCAAAGGTCGCTCGTTGAGGCTATTTTTGACATCATTTTCGCATTTTATATCAACGTGCTGATCACGTTTTTAGCCAATTTCGATTGAATAAACTGTGTCAAGTTTTTGGACAATGTTTTGCACATTCAAATTTGTAACATTTTCCAAGAAATTCACCGCATTTGCTCCATCGAGAAATGTAAAGCTTTTTATGATTGTAATAAAATACTGTTCACAAGTGATAAGATCAAGCCAAGGGGAAGATATTATGGTCAGAAATAAAGTGGAATTGTTTAATTTTTGCAATACATGGAGATTTTTTGCACTATTTTGCCAATAAATACACTTTAATGAAGAAATTTAATCAAGATTACAAGCTTGTAATGTTAAATTCAAATTAATTGTCCTAAGATTGATCATAACCTCAAAAATACTGCTCCAGGATACAAAATTGCCAGTTTTAAGAGTTGTTTAATAGATCTTCGATTATTATCAGATTAATATACCCAAGAATTGCTTTTAAAACGTTCCAAATAAGTTTCTGTCTAGAATTCTGGAAAATATTTCACGATCATTTTGAGGTTATGATCAACAGTGCATCCAAAAAAGCGATTAAAAATTGAATAACATCAAAATATTCTCTGAAAACTTTGAATATTTCTAAAATATATAGTTTTTCTTGTTTGTATTGACCTTGAAATACAAGTAAAATTGGCAATTTGTCGTAATATCTCCCCCTTTGGTTTAAACTGATAGAAAAAGCCCCACATTCCCCTATTTAACTGCGTTTACTCGTGAAGTTGTAAAATTTCTTTCTAGTTGTTCTTTAGGAAAATCTACACTTTAGTTTTTCCACAAGGAACACCTTTACAACGCCATTTCACCTTTACTTTTATCTCTAACCTTAATGATGGCTTAATTGCCAGCCGATAGACACCGAGATAATCCCAGTTTTTACACACTCTCAAGAGCATTTGTGTAATAAAATTCCAAAATTGGCTTTCAGGGATTTTGCTTTCTCTTTACCTTCGCCAATTTCCTGGGAAATTGGAGAGAAAAAAAAGGGATTTTCCCGTTTAGCACAGCCTTGATCGTGTGATACTTGAACTTGTGATCCAACATGTGATAATTTCTGGGAAATGCAAATAAATCCTCCTGACTTTGCCATATGGCAAGTTCTCGGCTCTGCCCTCTGACTCTCTGGAGATGCCTTGATTGACGGTTTATTTTTACGATTAGCCCGAGAGACACTTTGATCTCCGACTATCTTTCGACTGGCGTCTGTGCGAGCGCGGCGAGAAAAAATCGCCACGGGGAATGAAACTTATCTCTGGGCTGGCTTTTATGGCTTTTTCACTGCAATCTGAAGGCTCACTCTCCACTCTCCTGCCCAGGTTATCCCGCGGTTCAATCTAATTATACCGCAATAAAGCATAAAAGCATAACATAAACAATCCAGACGCGCGCCCAGTTGCGTTGCGAGTCGTATGCAACCGGTTGGCGCGCTTCGCTCCCGTCGAATGAATAATTAATGAAATAATTCACTGACAGAACCGCGGATTTGTCTGCTGACCGTGAAATTGATGTGGAATAGTGGAAATAATCACTCACCCGCGACTGGTTAGTGATGAGATTTCCAGACTTTATTACATCAGATCGAGGGAATTGCCGTCCTTCTTCTCAGACTCCGCAAGTTCGCAGGATTTCCACGCCCCTGACCTTGAGGCGCTGGATTCTGGGTCATGAATTTCCAGTTCTAGTCGGATTGCAATATATTTGGCGCGCACTTTCCAGCGCTGCTCTTCCCAAGGGGGAGATAATATGCCTTAAATATGTACAACAGACACTTTTGAACGTATTTAAAGGCATTTTCCATCGCATTTTTGAGTTCTTCAACTGTTTCTTACACTCATTTCTGACTTCTCATAACCTAATTCGGGTTTTCCGGTCTTCATGTGCCCAGGAAAATGCTTAGAAAAATATAAAGCAAATTGTGAGGTTATGAATTCTACTTAAAAATGAGTAAATATAACGAATATTTCAATGATTCTACAAAATGATTAGGTTTAATTTCCCTTTTTTAAGAACAAACTATGATCAATTTTAAGGACTTTTCTCAATTAATATGGAGTTTCTCGAACACAAATGTTTAATTCTGCCAAGAAAAAGAGAAATATGAATAATTTTGAGGGTTATTTAACCTCAAAATTCTCTTGAAAATCAATTACATAATCTAGAAAAGCAATAAAATCGATTTTCTAAGCAAAATATCTTGGAAAATGCCCTAAATTCGTTGGAAAAGAAGCTTTGGCAGTGCAAAAATTCTAAATATTTTGCAATTTCCAATTTCTAACACTTCCGATCATATTATCTGCCCCTTGGCGCTCCCACGAACCGCGGAAGACCCAAGAGAGGGACGACAAGTTGTAATCATTTCCCGAGAATGCCACTCATCACGATTAAATGATACTAATCAGCAATCTTCCGACACTTGAGACATGTTTTTCCCCACGCAAATTATCTTGCCAAGAGTGCTCTTGAGCCAGCGAACTTGGAGTGATTTGACGCGATTCTGCCATCGTCATAATCGATTTAATACACATCAATTGATGTATTTTGCTGGATCGCATCTCGAGGGTGGGTTTTGAAGACAGTCCGAACAGGCAGTCTGTGTGGCAACTCATCAGTGGCTATTATTAACTCTTCGCCACACACTTTCTTCCTTTTCTCCTCGCGCATTTTTCTCAGCGACGCCGGCAAATTTTCCGCTTCGTCCCGATCATTGGCACAATTTTCGCAACAATGGACGCAGAGACGCGCGATAAAGGAGTGCCTGAAAAAAGGAGGAACAAGAAAATACTGCAATCTGCCTTATTGGCACTTATTGAGAATTTTCCGTTACTTCATACAGTTTTTCTACACACTTCCTGAGGGGTGGACAAGTGCTGAGAATTGTGGGTTATTGTTTTGAAGTGAATTCTTGGCACTTCTTGGAATATTCAATAGATTATTTAAATACGAGCGACAAACAAGGTCAAAGATGTGTCCTTATTGAGGATATTGACACTTTTCCACTCACGTTTTGCATGCCAACAACAAGTTGCTCCTTTTTATCACTGTTTTCCCATCAAGCGGAGCATTTCAATGGTAATTTCTCTTGAGAAAAGGCAAGAAAAGCCATTTAAAAATGCCATCATGAATATTCAGTTGGCCACCCCTTCGTGTTCCGTCGCCACAGCGCTTATAAAATGAATATTAACAGCAATTAATTACATCAAGTATCTCGTTTGGAGGTCATTGCGGGGCGGGGAGTCACTTCAATCAGGCAGCGACACATGTAAACATGAAATATACGCAGAAAGTACGCGTCTATTCATCGATTTTCCCCGCATGCAAATTCGCAAATTGTATCAACACAACTCTTTCGCAATCCAATTGACAGTGGCTGGAAGACACAATATGATTGAGAGCAAACAATTAGCGCACATGAGGCGCAAATTCGAGTGGAGGCGAAATTGGATTTTGGTTCGAGATGATGTGATAAGAACTGTTGGCAAATTGGCGGGATTCTCACGTTTTGGGGGCGCGCAAAGAGAGGCGAATTGTGTGGTGTCTTTGCGCTGATTGAGAGGAAAATTTCAAGCACGCACTAAATTGCCTTAACTGGCTGTGCGTGAGGGGCTGTGATTTGGGTAATTTAATCCCATTGACATTAATCAGGGACTTCCTCGCGCGAGTGGTGGAAAGAATAACAAATTGTATCAATTGATCTCGCCAACAGACATGATCTCATGCCGCCAAGTGCTCAACATCATGGTGATCCTGGGCTTCATGCTCAACTACGCCCTCAGGGTGAATCTCACAATTGCCATCGTCTCCATGGTGTCCAACGCCACGGCGCCGCTCCTCAACACCACCGACAACTCCACCGTGGCCGAGGCCGCGGCGGCGCGCTTCAACTGGGACAGCCTGCAGCAGAACTTCGTGCTGGGCAGCTTCTTCTGGGGCTACATCCTCACCGAGCTGCCCGGCGGCCGGCTGGCCGAGCTGATCGGCGGCCGGCGCGTGTTCGGCCACAGCATGCTGTGGGCCAGCGTGCTCACGCTCATCACGCCCTTCGCCGCCATGCTGCACTACGTCGCGCTCATCATCGTGCGCGTGCTGCTCGGCTTCATGCTGGGCGCCTCCTGGCCCGCCATCCACCCCATGATCGCCGTGTGGATCAAGCCCATGGACCGCTCCAAGTTCATGTCCAACATGATGGCCTCCTCGCTCGGCGCCGCCATCACCATGCCCATCTGCGGCTTCCTCATCGAGTACTGCGGCTGGACGAGCGTCTTCTACGCCACCGGCGGCGTGGGCCTGGTCTGGTCCATCGTCTGGTTCTTCGTCATCTTCGACAGTCCCGCCGCACACCCGCGCATCACGGCCGAGGAGCGCCGCGAGATCGAGGAGGCCATCGGCACCACCACGTCCAAGAAGCGCCCCACCTACGTGCCGTGGAAGCAGCTGCTGACCTCCGCGCCCGTCTGGGCCATCATCCTCGTGCACGGCGCCTCCGTCTTTGGCTTCTTCACCGTCGTCAACCAGCTGCCCACGTACATGAAGAACGTCCTGCACTTCAACATCAAAGAGGTGAGTTTGGCATTCGGCGCGACGACCCAAAACCCCTGATCTCACGTTGAGCTTGACACTGACGCTAGATGTCACTGGCAAAAGCATTTCTGTCGTTCCTTCCAAAGAAGAGTAATAGAAACACAAGCTTTGGGCCTCAGTTTGATTGTTTATTACAGAGGAAAAACGGCCACGTGCCGGCCTTCTGCAAAAAGACTTGAATTAATTAACCAATTAAGCAATAACTACGCCTCTGGTTGGATCTAAATAAAAATGTCTCCTTGACTTTTCGCGCAATTGTTTGCCCGTCTCGTTAAGAGATCGCTCAAGATTCGCCTTGAGCGTTACTATGATTTGTAACTGATGCATTGCTGTTGTGAAGAGACACATCATAACATGTCCCTCAAGTTGGGAATTATTTATTAGAAAATACTCTTGAAGCCATATTAAAAAATGTATCTAACGATCGCACTGGGTGGATTTTAAGTTTAACTTTCCCAAACAATCTTGGTCGCTCTCTTTCCGCTGTAATTAAGCGAAAATGGTAAACAAAACTGCGTCGTGGGTTGTCAAGTGTTAAATAGGAATGTGAAAAACAACAGAATAAATCCATCTCAGTTCTATAATTACCAAAGCACATTGTCAAGTACGTTGGCAAGTGTGACGCCATTTGCTAAAAAATCCGCCACATTTGCTAATTACTGCTATTGATCTCACGCAGAATGGACTGCTGTCGTCGCTGCCTTACCTCGGGAAGTACATCATGGCTGTGTGCGCGTCCTACTTGGCTGACTACCTGCGGCAGAGCGATCGTCTGACCACCACGGCGGCCAGGAAGCTCTTCACCACATTCGGTGAGTAAAGATGGCGTCGATGGCGTCGATAGCGTCTCCACAATGGCGTCGTGATTCTAACTGATCCTCTCCTTTGCAGCTGTCTTGCCGCCGGGATTGTTCATGATCGCGCAGATCTTCATGGGTCACAATCGCGTCTTCGCCGTGACGATCTTCACCATTCAGTTGACTCTGAATGGCGCCGTGACGGCCGGATATCTGGGCAATGGCTTGGATATTGCGCCCAACTTCTCAGGCACGATCTTCGGTCTGGCCAACACGCTCTCTTCCCTCTCTGGCTTCCTGTCCAACTTCATGGTGGGCTGGCTCACGCAGAAGAACGTAAGATCCTTTGAATACCTCGTGAGATTCCACTGCTAATCGATATTGATTGCTTTTGCAGCAAACCTACGGCCAGTGGCAGATTGTGTTCGGCATCCTGGCCGGTGTGTACATCTTCGGCTCCCTGGTGTACCTGATATTCGGCACGGGTGAGCTGCAGGAGTGGAACAATCCGCCGGAGAGGAAGAAGAAGGGCGAAGAGGACGCCGAGGAAGGTGTTCCGCTGAAGAACAACAAGATTTCGGCGTAAATATCCTCACCAGTGACAAGAAATCTCGACGAGACGCGATCTCGTCCAATTGTCTTGAGAACCAAGAACACTGTAGCACGAAGTGATAGTGAAAAAGTATGAATTTGTAGATTAGGATGTTCGTTTTTAAAATGAATTAGTATATATTATGTCTTTTTTCGCATTAGACATTTAGAAAGAAGCATGAAAAGAGAGAGAGAGACAGAAAAGTGAATGAAATTCGTCTCAGAATCTGGATTATCGAAATGAAACTTGCACAAATGACAGTCTGACTAATTCTTAGTTGAAACATGGAGATAAATTATATAATGCGTTAGAGATTTATTTCTGGCTAAGTGTTTTCACGTCTTTTGTATGGAGCAATGCATTAGGATGTGTGATCCTCGGTGGATCGCATGAGATTTGAGGGTTAGGATAATCGATTGGATGGCATAGTGGAGAACATATTATTTCTACTGTTTTAGAGAGCTTTAATGTTTAAGTCCATCAATCCAAGAGTTCATATAGTAAGGATAAAAAAAATGGGGTTATGATAAATGCGCGCGCAAAACAGCAACTTTTTTTCGTTCTTTTTTGTTGGGAAAACAGTGATAAAGAGTTGAAAAATGAAAGGAAAAAACGCTACTTTTTCTACTTAATGCATACACAGGACAAAACTTTTACAGAAATACCTAATCGAATACATTTTTTTTTAAATTAAAGTATAGAGAAAGATTGATACAAGATAAGATTGTAAATAAACTCTATTTTTAATAGATTTGTATATAATGAGTACATAATAAATAAAATTTTTGCCATTACTTTTTAATCAGTGTTTTTATTGCATTTATTTCTTATATTCAGATTTCAAAATACCGTTTTCCTTCAAAATTTATTTATGAATTGATTATGTTCAATTTTTAAAGAGTAAAAAACAAATTTTTTAATTAAAAAGCTTAGAACAGACAAATATTACTTTAATACTTGATATTTAATCGGATATTTACGGTTTAATGCAAGTTTTTACGATAAAAACAAGTAGAAAACTGGAAAAATCTCCCAATTATGTACAAAAATTAGGAGAATTTTTTAAAAAGGTCCCAAAAAAAGACCAAATTATCCTGAATTGAACCTTAAATTCTCCAAATTCCTCTTTCTACCCACAAAATACATTTTTCTCACAAAATCCTCTAATTTCTGTATTTAAAAAAAGATTTTTATATTTTGTTCTTCAAGAACTTACAGAATATAATTCATTTTCCATGTTTTCACCCTAGAATTCTCTGAGTTTACGTTCTTATAGGCTCTATAAATGATCTCCAAACCTTCTCCTGCATTTTCCACTCTTTTAGACATATTTTCCAAGATTTAAATCGCATTGCAGCGAAGACACAAGATGCTGAGGCATTCAAAACCCATATTAGCATCCCCTCGATTTGTATTGCGTACCAAAAATAGAAGAAAAAAGCCTGTTTTCTGTTTTTTTCATAGTTTATTATTCAATATTTATTCTACACACAAACATTTTTTCTCATTAATTTATCTTTTATATAATTTTTAGGATTCATGTTCTGTGGTTTCTAGGTTTCTTCATCAAGTTCACTTATAATTCATCTTTCTTTTCATTTTTTTTTAATACATTTTACAAGAATTTCTTTTGTGTTGTCAATCTTTGTCGATAAATCTTCTGCATGGGTTTTTTTCTTCTTCTGCCTCTCGTAAAAGAGGATTTTCCAATGATCTCGTGTGAGTTGATATGGATCCACCAACATCAAAAGAATTCTGTGAATCTTCGAAAAATTACTACGCAATGATCTCGTCAATAAATACAATCTGGACGTATGATTTTGGTAGAGTCAAAATTTTGGCCAATCAATAGATAAAAGTATATCTTTATCGAATTTTACAATGATTTCAATCCTCTCTAGTGACAGTTTTACGGCTAGGTTTTTTTTTTCAAAGGAAAATTGTTCTATGTACAAAAAATATTCCATATTTATAAAACAACATCACAATTCTTCATCTTTCTCAAGTTTTTTTCTTTTTTCTTTATATCTTCTCTCTTTTTCTTTACCATTTCTAGTCAATTATGCTTTTATTTTTCTGCCTTTTTATTTAGAAAAATTATTCAATAAGTTATCTTACAGTGTTTCTCTTAAGTTTAGCTTCTTTGCTGGGATATGTTGTTGGGCGTCTTTCTGTGGGCATTTATGGGTTCTTGTCTTATCTTGTGTGTACTGTTTTTTTGGCGTGTGTGCCACGCGATGGCGCTGCTGTGTTGGAGACTTTCGCGCGCGTGCGAACTTTGAAATCTCTCCAATCTCCACTGAGTTTTTCTTTTCCTCTGGAACATTGTTTCTTGTGTCTTTCTTTTTGTTTCCTTTCGCAACAAAAATCATCGTCTCTCGTACTTTTTTTTCTTCCTTGTGATTATCCTTTATATACATGCTCACAAACATGGATATTTTCATACATTAACTATTTACTTATATTGCACTCTTTATCATTAACTACTATATTTATTGTACCTACGGATTTTTTTATACATTCAGTTTGAGAATTATATCGGTTATGGCAAATTAGTTGACTTGCAGGTTTTTCGCGTCTTTTGCAATTTGTGGCAATTTTTTCACAAAAAGAAAACTCAGTGGAAAATGGAGAAAAAACAGAGTGTGAAATTCGCACCTTTTTTTTGCTGAGCGAATGAGAAAAAATCACACGAAAAATGCTGTGTTCGTGTGCAGAAATATATATAAAGAAAAAAAGGGGAGCCAAAAAAAAAACATAATGAAACATATTAAAAGGGGAAAACAATTTTTTTTTAAAGAATAATTTTAAAAGTGTTAACTAAATATATCTTTTTTCGCACTATAATCGCTAATTCGTTCTCCCTCTCTTGCTATTTTGGGGGTGGTTTTTTTTTTTTGATGTCTTCCTCTTCCAAGGAAGAAAATTCTATTTTGGGGAGTGTCTTTTTGTCCTATGAGATCGGTTTTCTGTCGGTTGAGTTCTGTCTTTTATCAGTTTTGCAGAAAATCCCCCAACTTTTATCATCTCTTTACACTTCTGACTACAATCAGGTAATGTGTTAAAATATTCCTTCATCTCATCTCTCTTCTCACTTTCTCTTTCAATTAAAATGATTTTTCTCCTTGTTTATCTTATCAGATAGATTTTACATATGCCTAAAATTTATTCACATTTAGAATACATCTTCTTGTTTTTTTTTCTCATTTTTAGTATACGATTTTTTCTTCTTGTTCTTTAAGTGTGTGTGCCGTGGAATGTTTTTTTTATATAAAGATTTACTTAACAACTTAGGAGAGTTCCTTTTGTCAAAATTGCACGACAGAAGAATGGAATACATGAAATTTCCCTCATTTGTGACCAAGAAAGAAGCGTTTAAGTAAACATAAATAGGATTGAGGATTTATTTTTATCTATATAAGAGACTATTTGAGGGTGTTTTATAAATAAATCTCAGTCGAGTGGCCGAAAAGTCCGGCAGAACTGTCGAACCGACGCACTCGATAAGCTATACAGACCTACAATTTAATTTAATACAATAATTAAAAAGTTTACTTATAGATCAGCCTCAGTTTGTTGTCTTTTCAAAGTTCCTATTTTTTCCGTGATTTTCTCTCCTCTTCTTTTTTAATAATTACTTGTTCTCCTTTTAAATTGTTATCTCTCGCTCGCATAATAAATAATTTAATAACTTCCCCGCGCTGAGGGTGAACTAAAAGAGAAGTGTGGGAGGGAAAAAGGGTGTACATTCACGATAAAATTATAACATATTCTATGCTTTTTTTTTCACTAAAGTGTCTCTCTCACTTCGCACTCATTGTCTCTCACACGATCGATTTTTTTTCTCTCTCTCTCTCACATTAAGCTACAATATATTTTCTCCCACTAAAAGGATACAAATACAGTGTCATCATGTTGTTGATAAAGGAAAGGAAATGGTGTTTTTTGCACGATGACCGTCAAAATTAAATTCGAAATTATTCTTCATTTTAGGATTCACTTGCATCACACACACTTACAGTGACTCCAAGTCAAATGTTTTCACCCCTTTTTGCAGGCCGAAACCCTCGAAATTAAATTCAACTTGTTCACTTGAGAGCTTGAAACAATATCAGTCATTTCAGTGGCTCTTATTTGATGCAAAGAATCCACTTTCTTGCGTGACCGTTGCAGTTTGAATTGGTGGAAAATCTTCCTTTTTTGCCCACTCAATTGAGCATAATTGAATTCAGGAGGAAAGCATTTGATTTGAGTCACTGTATTTCTCCCTTTCCGCGCTTATCAAAGAATTTCTGTTCATCTCCTCAATCCTCCTCAAGTTAAAGTGATATCCATGTGCCAGGATAGCTCTCCTCGCGTGCCATCGAGCCTTGGCTGTCCGCCTGCGGCCGGCGCGGGGGCGTCGCGCGGCCGGCGGAGCATCAGAGGTTGTGAAAAGTTCCCTGTAATGAAAAGTGCGTGTCCTCCGGATGATATGACTGAGAGATTAGTCTAGAAAGCGGGCGCCAGCTTCGTGATGCTCCGCCGTGAGGAGGGCCGTGCCGAAGGCTCCGAAGTCGCCCCACCGCGCGGGTCATTCCTGCTTGATGGACGCCGCCGGCGACGAGAGCGGCCCGTAGTACGACGAGCCGTGGTGGCCCAGCGCCATGCCGCCGGCGCCGCTGGGCGTGCCCGGATGGCTGGGCGAGTCCAGGGAGTTGGGCGGCGGATTGATGCGCTTCTCCTTCTGGCGGCGGTTGCAGAACCACACCCGCACCACCTCCTTCTCCATGCACAGCTGGTCCGCCAGCTGCGAGATCTCCTCGCTGGTGGGCTTGGGGTTCATCATGAAGGACTTCTCCAGCGCCACGCGCACCGACGTCTCGATGGACGTGCGCTTCTTGCGGCGCCGCCCGATGGTCTCCGGCGTGGTGAGAGGATTGCTCAGCGTGCTGGTGCCGAAGATCCTGCAAAATTCATCACTTATACAAACATGAACACCCTGAACGCCGTCTGAGTGAGCGGCGAAACTCACCCTCCGGGATTCGTGATGCTGCTGTCCGCGTCCTCCAGCCACTTCTGCAGCAGCGGTTTCAGCTTGCACATGTTCTTGAAGCTCAGATTGAGTGCCTCGAAGCGCGATATTGTCGTCTGCGAGAAGTCATTGCCGTACAGCTTGCCCATGGCCAGGCCCACGTCGCCCTGCGTGAAGCCGAGCTTGATCCTGCGCTGCTTGAACGTCTTCGCGAACTGCTCCAGCTCCTCCAAGTCCGTGGTCTCCTCGGGCGAGGGCTCGAGGGCGCGCGGCGCCTGCAGCTTCGGCATCTGGGGCGTGTGGGTGCCCGAGCCGGGCGTGGAGGGCGTCAGGATGCCGCCCACGTTCAGGCTCGCCACGTTCGGCGGCGTGGTCTGGTTGGGCCCCATCAGACTCGTGGCGCTCGAGTTCTGGCCGCCCGGGGAGCCGGCAGGGCTGTGGAGCGGCGAGCTGGCGGCGATGACGCCGCCGCTGGCCGAGGTTTCTGACTTGAGTTGCTGCTGCTGCTTCTGCAACGCCTGCAACTGCTGAGCCGCCTGGGCGACAGCGTGGACCTGCGGAGGAACACTCATTAGCCTCTTGGCGGGACGTTTGAGGGCGCGGAAGGAGACCTGGTGGGAGAATCTCGCTCCGTCAGATGAGGAGAAGGTCTGAGGCAGCTTTTCCGGGGACGCAAGAGTGTGAGCGAGGGACTTTGTGGGCAAATCTGTGGCTGTTCTCACCTGATTCTGCATTAGGAACTGTGCAGCCGCCGCTTGGGCATTGGCCGGCGCCCCGGACTGGGCGTTGAGTCCTCCGGCTCCGCTGCCGCCGTGCAGCATCATGTAGTTCTGGATGTGCTGCTGCAGCGTCGCCTGCTGAAGCGTGTTGAGGTCCTGGGCGGACAGGCCGGCCAGGTTGCTGAGGCCCAGGTGGCTCTGCAGCAGCAGCAGCTGCGACGCCAGCGGCAGGCTCTGCAGGGCCGCGATGGCGGCACCCAGGCCCCCGCCGGCGGCACCCGCGGGCGGCGGCTGCTGGCTGGAGGACACCGGAGACGGCGTGTGTCGCGAGGAGTCAGTCACCTGTTGAGGACATGCCAAGAGAATCAGCCCGAGATCGACACGCGCGGCGCGAGGAAGTGCGCGAGCGCTCGTCAAAGCAGAGATCAGGATTGGAGGAGAGAGATTGAAGTGAGGCGGTGCCATTGTGTCTCTTCCCTGAGCCTCAAAACAACTCTTTCACTCCGCGCGCCTTTGTCAGAGATCAAAAAAGGGGGAAACGAGATTGAAATCGTGGCTTGTGGACCAACTCTTGGCCCGAGGGTGTTTGAGTTCCCTTTTAATATTTCATTCCCGCAATTCCGTGAGGAGCGCCATAAGTTATGGGGCTTAATTTCGTCCTTACCAGATTCAGCGCCGATGGTCGGTCGTCCTGATGCGGTGGCGGACTCTGTGATTGTTCCCTTTCACTGTGCTCATCGCCAGAATCTCCGTCGTCTGAAAGAGAGCGAGAGAATTTGGCGGTGAAAAATGGGTTGCGCGCTCGGGAGTCTTGAAAGATTATCTATCTACTGAACTTTGCAGAATTCACAACCACAGGAGTTGGGGAGGAATGCAAAGGGATGACGGGGAGATTTAATTCACGAGAGTGACGACAGTGCAAAAGAAGTCGCTCTGATGAATCATCTTGCCTTCAAAGTGCAAATAAAAATCGATTTTGAAAGTTCTTCAGCATTAAGATTAAATAGAAATTAAACAATGATATAAAAGAAAATATCAGGATGAGGTTTTGAGGATATTTACAGGATTCAAGGGCATTAAAATTGAGTGTAACTTTAAATTTTCCCGCACACAAAAGTCAAAAACTTGCACAGCAAAATATAAAGACGGAAAAGTTTACGACTTTGCAACTCATTTCATTCCTCCCTTGTTCGCTTTATTTGCAATAATTCTGGAATTAGCAAATGCCCGGATTTTGATTGATCTTTCGGCTGAGGGTGAAAGTTTAATAACTTTCACCCCATTGAATAGCGATTTGCTGGAGGTCAGTCGATATTGAGCCACGCAACTATCGACGATTTTGCATCACAAAGCGAGCACGGAGCGAATAAATATCCCCAATATTCAATCTTCCACTCGACTTGCTCCTCGTCTTATCATCGCCTCTGCAACACTGGCCATGGACACTCCCTCGGGCTCTTCGTCAACACAGTCCTGCTGAATTCACTCCTCGGCCACAATCCAATTCTCAATGGCAAAGAGGGTGATTCGGAAAATATGGCGCGCGATGTTAAGATTTAAAGTGTGGAAAATTTTATTCACACCCCTTTTCACTGGCTTCCTCACTGTCAATTGGCGAAAATCTCTGTCGCGTGGCATTTGACGGAAACCCCTTCAGCGTATAAATTTCACTTCCCCTTTTGAATTTATCAGCATAGAGAAAGGGATTATCAGTTTTGATTTACCATAAATTATAAATTTGTTATTAATAATCGAAATATACAGTCACATCTGCCACATTCTCTCATTTATCTTCCGACCAATTGCTTTCTTTTTTTTTCACCCCTTTTCACCTCTCTCCGCGCCGCCCTTCCTTCCCTTGGAATGGAATTTCAATAAATCCAATTCATCATTGAGCAATTTTGTCGCTCGACGCGATTCAGGAGAGCAAAGGCCATTAAGGAAAAATGGCAATGGGAAATTATGAAAAGGAAGGCATACAAATTTGAAACGGTGCATAAAAGGGTGGTTTTTTCCTTCGCTGCTATTCATATTAGCAGAATGTCTCGTTAGAAAATTGTGAAAGGGGTGAATTTTGATTGGCTTATTTTATCTCATAAATACGCACGTGAAAGCAATCGGCAGGGGGTAGTTTTCGAGGCCCACCATGTTGCGCATTAGAATTATGCTGTGGGAATTAAAACGAACTCCGCCAAAGACGCAAAGATTTTATGTGGGAAAGTCGTAGCGTCTTGAAGCGAGAAATGTAGGTCAGATCGATTGCGATAAGGAGAAGGAATTTTCCTCCTCAAAAGCTTATCCATCAGACCACAAAAGGCGATCCATTGTGCACTTTGCCATCACTTTAATATTCACTCAAATGCCCCGGTGAAATCTGGGAGTGATTCGGGGATTGGAGAGAAAAGTAACTTTAGGAATTGTGTGGCAGTGAATTTTTATTGCGGCGATTTTCGGCCCGTCAGACTAACGCAGATCTACTTATTATTCATCGTATGTTCATATTCAAATGATTCTCGGACAAGTTGACCGTGGGCCCGGGGACAGGGAATCCTTGGGAAGGAAGCAAGACAAGGGGCAGATATTGTGGTCAGAAGTGGTGTACTGCTTCAACGGAAGTGGTAGAAATTGAAAGTGGTAAATTATTTAGGATATTTGCAGTGCAAAAGCTTCTGTTTCAACAAATTGAGGCATTTCTTAATCAATTCTATTGCTTTTCTAGGTTATGTGATTGATTTAAAACAGATTCTGAGTGTTCAAAAAACCCTTCAATTCATTAAAATTGTATTAAAACGAGGAATATTTCTCTTTTTATCGGCAGAATTGAATGTTTGTGTTCGAAAAACTTCAGATTTGTTAGATTTCGGAAGTTTAAAACAGCCTTAAAGTCAAATATAACCTCATAAATGTCCAGAAGTGCCTGAAGTGTTGAAGATTCTGCACAGAGGCTAAGAAAGTGTCAGGAAGTGGTGTACAGATTGAAGGGGTATTATATCCCCCTTGAAGGAAGGTATAAATGGACATTGCAGGGCAATTCCGACACCCTTGTACGAGAGAGGAATTGAGCGAAATCACACTTGTGTGCAGTTCATATTTGGCGAATTATAAATGTTCCGAGAGGGTGATTTTCGGTACGTGAAAAATCAGTGGTGGAAATATTTGAATTTTCCACGCCATGGCCATGAGGTTCACTCTTGAATACATATTCGGTCGATTTGAATAAATTAAATTTATAGCACAGTCGAGGAGAGACTCTCAACAGTCCCGACTGACCCTTTCATCCCGCACTTTTGCCGCACCCCTTCGTGGGGTGGGTGTGAATTGAAAGGCAGAGTCACTCCACAAAGTCATCACTTTTAACCCATTAAGTGGATTTAATTCACTGCTGAGCGATTCAACCCCTAAAAGACCATCACTCAACACACCCAAGAGTCCCGATCAAACAGGTGAGAAAAACCTCCATAAAGTGTTGTGTGTCGAAAGTGGGATTTATTTAAATTTCATGCCTCTAAAGTGGGGTTGAAAGTGAACATCGGGGGAAGAAGAAAAAAAAACCCACCATTCAGTGGAGGGACAGAAAGGCAGTGAGGGGTGAAAATTATTCTCCCAGAGAGGTTTGGGAAAAAGAGAGCGCGCGCTTTTTTACGATGGATGCACATGACCACGAATGCAGACTCTCACCTATAATTTAGAGCCATATAAATCCACCTACGCAGGCCGGAGCCACTAATAAAGTTAAGAGCGATTAAACGGAAAGTTGGCAAAGTAAATCGATTCTAGGAACAACTCGGATGACTTTGAGCACTGGCAAACTCTATAAACTCAATTCATTGGGTGAATTAATGCGATGTTTCTGACTAAAAAATAATTAAATTCTGCGTGATTCCATTTTTCCGGCGTCTTGAGCACATCCCTTTCGTCATATTCCCATGTTCTCGGACGTTCGCGGCTATTGCAAGTGAGAGAAGTCAAAGAAGATGGTCAAATAGTAACATTTTTACCCTCTTTCTCGGCTAGAAACTAATTTAAGAAGGATTTTGACAAAATAATATTGATTTTGCAATGAAAAGAGCCTCAAAATTAACCGAAAACAGCCTAAAATATGACTCTATGATGGGAAACTACGCAGAAACCAAAGTAGAATCCCGTCAATCGTGAGCAGATCATGCTTCACCGCCTGGTTTTCATCTACCCGTACAATTATCAGTCTTAATGTGCATCTGAGAACGCACATAATATTAAAATTCTTCCCGCAACGGCGAAATCACGATCATCAAAAAGAGATTCACATCGTTCATCTGATTATTATGTATCGTGTTTTATTATCGTGGTTTTTATTGCCATCTCGTCGAATTATAATTTGGCGTATTCGCGGATCGCGCTTCTTCTGACATGGCTGCTGTGTGAGATGAAAAATTACCACCAAACAAATTTTTATTGCATCCCACGAGAGATGATTTTTCCAGTGCGCACTTTTCATCATTAGTATGCAGACCAAATCTGTTTGTCATGCTTCACAAGATTTACAACTCCACCAGTGGCAGCATAAATACCCTCAAACGGCGCGACGTGTAGTCAAAGTGGCCAGAAGGGATGGAATTCACACTGTGCCGGACATTATTCAAATGCCGAAGCACCCTACTTTTTGCCCCTGTTCAACTTGTGGCATTTTAATACACTTTTTTCTGCCCTCTCCCTCTCCCAATTTACATGAGCAGTTTATCTACGGATCACCATTGTTAGACACGTGTCGTCATTTTTACCTGTTTCCCCAACCCCTTTCGCGACTCCGATCGACATTTAACTTATCTCATCTCCTTTCCAAAGGGTTGCACAATCTCTGACGTGGAGTCATCACTCGAGGAAGCGCGTGTTGAGCTCGTGTGCAAGGAAAGTTGATGGTTGTTTTTTTTTTCCTCAGGTAAAGGCGCAAACTTCCTTCTTTCGAGGGAGCGGATCTGTGGCATTCCTCATTTGTTGCACAATCCCAAAATGTTATGACGACTCTCCTTTTCACGTGAGTTTACCATGACAAAAGGGAAGAGTCTTTCGGGGACTCATTCAAATTCTCTTAATCCTCAGCGTGTGTTTGGACAAATCAAGGAGGAGATATCATGGTCAGAAGTGATGTAACATCTCAGTAGAAGTATTTGGAAGTGGAAATTAACGCAATATTTCGAGAAAAAGAATTGTTCTTTGGAACTCTGCCACTAAATAACCACAAAAATCATTTATTCTTGAACTTAAACTAGTAGAATTTCCATTTACTGGTACAATAATAATGAAATCTGATGAGATTTACAAGCTTTCAGTGTTAAGATTGATCATAACCTCTATAATATTGATTCTAGAATAAGTTTTTCTCAAGGATTCTTTTAGGTTATGTTTCAAAGTGCCTCCAAAAGAGCAATTGATCATTGAATCACATCAAAATATTTGCTGGAAACTTCAAATAATTCTCAAAATATTGTTTCTCTGTAACTTTTCAGAGTTAAAAAAGTAAAAATTGCGCCTTTTTTGTGACAAAGAGTCCTTAATTTGAGGTTATGGATGTTTTAAGCATTGCTGAAGTTCTGTTTAGCCATGTATTATCTCCCCCTTGGGACAAATATAGGCAAATGTATTCTAAAATATTCATTTGATCCCAAATACCAATTGCATTTGCATCTCGTCGCATTCCGGCGAACAAAGACATCAGACGAAATCAATCGCCATTCTTGAGAAGCATCAAAGAGAGAGAAATTATAAATTCACTCACCATTGGATGGGGCTGGTGAGGGAGATGATTTGGGTATTCGACTTAGATCTGCAAAGAGAGAGAGAGATGAAATTATTGTGCTGCAGACTCTTGTGGCCATGTGGCTGAAATTTTATTATGGACGGTCATCAAATGGAGATGTATGGGAAAAAGTGGCCCATAAAAGGAGAAAACATACACCAAGTTGAGTATGAATAAATGATGTGCACATTTTCACATTCAAATTCGATCCCTTGACCATCGCGCTCGCCCTTCTGAGACACACACACGACGACGACGACGACGATGAGGAGTTCCACGTTTGCGCGCGGAGGAGTTGCATCTCTAAATCACATGAATATTCATTGGGTGAGACACACTGTGAGGGTGTCCATTTCCCATTTCGCCCGTCTGTCACCCCCGCACATTGCCACGGACATGGGAATACGGGGTCTCTTTATGGTGGGTGTTTTCTCTGCATTTACATATGGCGCTCTCTCGCTCTTCAACCACCCCCAAAAACAGAGAATGGACACATCAGAGACACTCTATTTACCTACACATTAAACGACTCCCGAGGGAGATGAGGCTTATGCGTCCCTTTTTAAATATAGAACGACAGCGGAGCGACTGAGACGAAGTCTCTTCCCACCCCAACTGACAATATTGATAGTCTTCGAAGATGCCATCGAAGACCATCAAAGGGCATATATTATCCTTCACTTAATTAAGACAATAAACAGAGACTCTCCGTCCAACCCTCCAGGTTTAAACTGCAACGAATATCTCACCCTCGAGCGTCTGGCGCGTGATCGATTGCATTGGAAATGCAGCAATTGCCAAAAACAAGGGGGCGGACAAGTAATTTTTGCACTCTGGGACTTAAAATTGCATTCAAAATCATTATTAGCGCATCAACCCTTTGCAGAAGGACAATTTTCTCAATATTTCTCAATTTTTATGTTGGATTTTGACGCTTTTTTCGTTCATTTCTTCACCCCTTGGCAAAAATTTGTCATTCGAAACTCCACTCAAAGTGGTTGAAAATAAAGAGGCAGATGATCGAAGCCCGTCAAAGCAGAGAGAAACTCCAATGAAAACCGTGAATTTGAGCATTTAGATTTAGGGGTGGAAGTGGAAATTCCATCGTCATAGATGTCACATTATAAATAATCGAAAATCTCTCGTCATTTTTCATCACGAGAATTGATCATGTTGCAAGAAGAGATATTTTGCCTGACTCTTCCACATCTCATTTTCTGTCCCAATCGAGATGAATTCACAGAAAAGCGTCCAAGAGACGATAAAAGATTTCACAGACACAGAGTGAGAAGAGAGAGAAAAAAAGTAAAAGTCATGCTATAATTTTTCGCAAATCAATAGATAAATGCGTCGCTCTATAAACTGGCGGTCGAAGGGTGTTTTGTGAGCAGTTGTGTGTGCTTATATGAAAATGTTTTTGGGTCTCTGCGAGTGTTTTTCGACCAAAAGATGCGCGTCTTTGTTGTTGAATGGCCCAAAGAGAGAGGAGAAAAAATACCCAAATTTATTTATTATTCCCAAAAATCCACAAAAGGTGCCACGGAAGATTTTCATCTCTTCGCACATTCATAAAAATGCGCCTCGGACTCTTCGGGCTTCAGGACCTTTTTTTCCCGATCACCAGCAAAAACGCTCTCAATGGTCTTCGGAGGGGAGACAAATTTCTGCAGACAGTGTATTCAAATTTTTACCTGTGTGGACGAAGATCATGATTCTTTTTCCTTTGGGGTGAAGCAGTGGTGAGTGAAAAAAATAGAAAAAACTGGACAGCAAAGGTAGGAAGAAGTGTATCGAAAACACAATAATTATATTATGACTCTCGGATTCCGTGCACGAAAAACATTTTATTATTAGATGGAAGTGAGAAGAAAAAAGGTGCACATGTCCCTTTTTTCCTCCACATTCGTACAATTTTCTCGTGAAGCATTCCCATCAATTTTCGAAGATATCTACCTCTGATTTTATGCATTTTTCCCTCCTTTGGACGCACACAGAGACACGAAAATCCCTCTCATTCGGCCAATATCTGAATAAATGACTCCCACAAAAAGGTGAAGAAGCACATAAAAAGTGTTGTCTTTGAAATTGGAAGCGTGAATTTTTTTCCGAACACATATTGAGAAATTCCCTCCTTTTCAGCCATTCGATGTTGAGCGATAAGAAATATCTGAAAAATGTAATTATGAAGAGACTGAAATTTCAGGGTAGCACAAAGGTTTCGTCGATCGCAATCGAACACTTCCAGGCCACCCTCGAGATGTTTGATAATTTCTCTTTGCCCAGGACGAAGCCAGAAGAAAGCTTCCTTTTTTGTCCAGGGCAACACAACAATCGAATGATTGACTGAAATGCAAATAAAATTCACAAATGTGTGAAGAAATGCTTCTTTGCAGGGATATCTTCAATGGAAATTTGTCAAAATAAATCAATAAAACGGTTTTGTTGCGAGCCTCGAAGGCATCGTCGTGTCAGCAAACAATGGTCGTAACAAGATACTGGCGAAAATGACTTTCAAAGGAATGTTAGGATATTGATTTTTTACCTAAGAAACATATTTTTACACTTGAGTTCGCTTTGTCCAATTCTATATTCTTCATATTCTCACTGTTTTTCCCAAGGGGGAGATAATACAGTCAGAAGTGGTGTACGACTCAACAAAAGTACAATATTCCTTTACTGAGTGCTTCTTTTACTGACAAATTATCCAGATTCTTTGGATTTCCTTCGATTTTCGAGCAGAAATAAACGTAAAAATCTGTTTCTAGGTTATGTTATGAATTAAGGACAAATTATGTGAATAATTCACATTCTAGCAGATAAATTCTGAAAGTCCTTGGGAGAATTAAGTTTGCAAGCAATTAAGGGTTATTTTTTCATCCTTTGATGCAAAGAAATACTGCAAATCTTGCTAAAATTGGACATAACCTCAAAAATAGTCATTTTCACTTGAAAAATGCCCATTACTTTCTCGACAATTTTGACGAAGAATCAGGAATTTAAAAATTATTGGCAAATTTTGAAGATTTCTCAGTTATATTTTTGAGGTTATGGTCGGAAAAAATGTCCAAAAATAGCGTTTTCAAGTCGATTTTACAGAAATATCAGAAACAGACTACAAATTTCATGTCATAGAAATGTCAGGCAAATTTGGAAGTATTTCTCATACAAGATTATCTCCTCCTTGATTTTTCCGAATCTTTCTTTCACTATTTCTACAATTTGTACTGATTTAAATACACAAAAATCAATCTTTTTTATTGTGTTTTTATCACTTTATAGGGGATTTTTCACGTGAAACTCTTCTGAACAATTTGCAAGCGTTTTTTAGGGCTTAAAATAATGCCCAGGCTAATCTTTAATCCCCACTTAAGACGATTCCCGTCTCGAGGAATTCTTTCACCAAAATACCTCCTCTCTCAACCGCCACACTCTTCACAGAACATTCCGGAGTTGCTTTAGATTAAAATGCGCTTGTAAAATAAACCCATTTTTCTCAATGGTCAGATTTAGATCACCTCCACAACCGTTAATTGAACCGACAATTTGGATACGGCGCAGCGCGTGTATTTGCTGACATTTGGAGGCCAATCAAAAATTCCATTTTCATAAAGAGGCAAGGGAAAAAATGAAAGGTCGGAAATGGGATGAATTATTGAAATGATTGCGCGCCCCGATCATTAGGCGCAAGCTTCAAAAAGCTCCAATTTAATTACAAATGACTTCTGTGCGCTTGGTTTTATTGGTTTCATCTGACGCCTCATCATCATCAAAGTGGGAGCAAGATATAGAGTGGAACGTACATCTCGGGAAGGTCTGCGACGCGGCTCCTCGCAGAATGTCTCTCTTCAGGGAGTTGTTGTTGTCCTCTTGATTGCCTCCACCCCACGCACGGGCCTTGTAGAGAACCATCATTGCAGCGCGACTGGGTGGCTCTCGGTGGCATCAAGAGTCGCGCTGGCTTCTGTGCACCATCAGAGATCTCGCCACGCACTATGCAAATGTCACGCGCGACACTTATTCAAATCACCGCGCGATTTATGCACAAACTATGCAAATATCTCTATTCAAATCGTCTCGGCGCGACAGGCGAGCGAAGAGGCTGTGAATTCAGTGTGATTTGCAGCCGTTGTGTCCTGAACGCCACGGCAATGGCAACTGACTGTGCTGCGGCGGCCGCCAAGACGAATAGCTCCTGAGTTGGCCGAAGAGAGAGGGATGCAAAAGAGGACTCGGCTCGCCGAGGGCGCAGGAAAAGGCGCACGAAGAAAAGGGAGAGCAGCTATCGAAAAATACCTCCATAAAAGCCAAAGCGAGTGTAGTCAAATCAAGTGAAAAGTCTTCATCCCCTATGTCGTCCTTCCACCCCTTTTCGAGCGCTCTCTGCGACTGTGTGTGTGAGTACATAGGACGTCGGTTTTCGCGCGAAAGTAGCCGCCGATCTCGGGTGGGGATGACACGGAGGGGGCGCCTTTTTAGAGGGGCGATGCGACTCCTTTTTTGGCCGTTTCACACACAGAAATGTGTGTGCTTGGCTAATATATGCCTCTCGGAATATAAAGCCAAGGGGTAGCGCGTATAAAATCACATGCTGAGTGGGTGTGGCTTCACTTTAAATCTTTCATGAAGTCCGCGGAAATTCGGCGGATGCGCACTGGATTTTGTGCATTTTTAATTCTCTCCATCGCACAGCGAAAAACTAACCCCTAAATTGCACTATAAATCATTAAAAACCTTTCCACTATTCATCCAGGGATGACAAGGGTGAGAGAGGAAAAAAAAATGCAAGAAACTTCTTTTTTACAGGTAAATTGGGCATTTTTGTTTCGCCCAGAGAACCAAAAAACGAGAGAGAGAGAGAGGCAAATTCGTGTAAAAATACAGCAAAGTATAAAATTTCAGAAGAAAAAAAAACGAGGGGTTTCGTTGCATTCCCAAAAGCAAGAGACACGCAGACAAAAAAACAACACTCCTGACCCGATTTTTGCTTGAGAATTTTGTATTTTTCCCTCTTCTCGGCATTTTTTTCCATTGCGATATCTCATTTTTGGAAAAAAAACCCCACCGCACACATCATGCAAGGGATAACAATGAAGGTATATGAATTGAATGCAATGTATGCATTTTAAATTGGAATATTGCAAGGAGATTTCGGGAGAAAAAACGCCGTTCTCACGCGATTTTTTCTCGGGCCAGGCTGGGCAAAAAAGCGACCATAATTCAAGGAGAAAAGGAGAGAGAGGGATTTGATGCAATTCAAGGGATTGATAGCCGTGTGGATTAAGGGTGAGCGCAGGTGGTGGAGAAAAAAATCACAGGATTATTCGCATTCTTCTAATGAAACTCTCCTCTTCACGTGAATTCGCTGCTGGCATTGCGCAATTCCTGGAACATCCTGATGGGCAAATGCATATTGGCGAGTGGGTCGGAAGTTGTAAAAAATGGTCCGTCGTATGACCAATAAAATCGTAAAAAAGTCGGAGTTAATTGCACGTGCAGAGAAGGGTCTGTGCTGTGCGTGAAAAAAGCTCCAGTGGCTTTTTACTCATTGTAAACTACTGTTTTCAGGACGACACAGTCATATAGAGTGCGTCCCTAAATTGCTTTATTGAGGGTTTTGGTGACATATTTCAAAAAAAGAGCGCGGCCTTCGCCAAATGGCCATCGCCGCTCTTCGTCCATCTCGTCTTCCCAGCGCTCTTATATACCTGCGAGACGCCACGGCGGATTTCGCCCGGGAGGCTGGCAGAGAATGAAATGAGGAGAAATTTAATTAATTCCTCCTCCGAATGGAATTATTATTAATGCCACACACCGCCAGTTGGACTGGCAACGATCAATAATTCACTGTAACTGTGTGTGAGCTCGTGTTCGCCTTCATTTCCTGCCCCCTGTGCTTCGAAAATGTATTCCACGTCACGACAAGCTCCTCCAAAATAATGACAAAACAAATACAATCGCCACTTTGGCTATAGAGATAAAATGTTGTACTACACTTGATGATTGCCGGACTCCAAGCGCCGGAGTCTGTGTGCGCGCCGAACACTCGCCCAGAGGTAATCATCGACGGACCACCCTCGTTGGGCGATGAAAATCGATAATCTGCAACAACAATTTGGGTACAATGGCCACAGACAATGGCGAGAGAGCGAGAAATTCGAGCAATTCCGATGTAATTTTTCGCGAGGCAAATTAACACACGGATATCTCTCGCGCTGAAGCCCCGAGATTTATGCCACTGCTGCCGAAGGACCCTCTCTGGAAGCCACCCTCTGAATGCACGCGCGCGTGTGAGGGTGGAACAATGGGAGAAGACAAATGTAAATGGGTCCAGATGTTGCCGATCGCTTGACCCCTGTCCACTGCCGAAGACTCTCCGCTGCACCAACAATGGACGCTGACCTCCTGCGTGTGCCACCAATTTTCCCATATTGAAATTTATATTCAATTTTTCCCAATAAATAATCACTCTCGCCCCGACAATGGTCCGCAGGGATGATGGCCTCGAAAGGTGGCCAGCAGGATTCCCCAGAGGCGGGAGGGTTGCGAGGGCTCGAGCTCATCCACAGAACATGGCAGAGAATATGTTACGGTTGTGTGCAGAATTTAACCCTCTTCAGAGCTGAGAAGCAGACAAATTTGCGCTCGCTTTAACTCTTCATCTATTCGAGATGCAGTAAAATCGTCTCAATTAGAGTTATTTGCAGAAGTGTTGTTCTAATTATGTCCCTTCTCAATTTTGATACATTTTTTTAGGTCATGTGACTGATTTAAGACAAAAAACATCTTAAATTGAAATTATTGAATCTGAATTCAAAATAATTCCACTTTATTTGTAGAATTTCGTTTTTTTTTTTTAATTAATGATAATCGTGATTTCAAGAAACGATCCTAAAGTCAAACATAACCTCAATTTTTCATTGCACAACACAAAATTTAGAGCCAGAAATATTCCAATTAAGAATTCATATCGAAAAACTCTCTATGTCTGCAAGTTTTCAGTTAGTTTTCGGTTAGATTTCAGTTAGATTTTAGTCAGATTGCTGTTATTTAACAATCCAGGAAGTCTGATGTCCTGGAACATGAATTTTAACCAAGTTTCACCCCAATTTTGGGGAAAAAGAGTTCAAATCGCCAATCAGCCCTATTTTTCGCCCAGATTGTGTTAAAAAAAAGAAAATTTCCCTCATTTATTATAGATAAGTATCGATAAATTCAGAAACTTACTCAGTTTGGAGTCAGAAAATGAATTATTATCATCTCTGTTCCAAAGAATATTGCTATATTTTCAAAAATCTTAGTTTCTTCATCATTTTCAGCTTCTTTTCCCGAAATTAGTGCAAATGAAGTCGCAATCTTATTCTCTTAGTGTATTGAGTGACATTTTTCCTAAAATTTCCCATTCGAACACTCTGAAAATTCACTCAGCTTGAATGCAATATTCCGTTCGACTTTCAAATGGTGAAAATTTAATGAACCTCTCGCCAGGTAAGCACGTTTCCACCCTGTGGGTGGACGTAAAAGTCCTTTCACGTGGCGACCGCAGACGTTTCGCCCGCAATTTCACTAAAATCATCATAAGCCGCAGCGGGTTTCGGGGCGATGGACATAAAATCAGTTAATAAATTACATTTGATGGGGCCAAATCACAAATGGGGGCAATCAAACAAAATAAGGGCCTGTGTGCGGCGCTCTCGTCTGCATCGAGGGTTGACAATTCTGTCGTCGACTTTCCACCCCATTGCCATTTTTCCCTCTGTGCTAGAAAATTGGCAAACAAATACACGTTGACATGACTTACTTACGAATTTATTCAGAGAGACACAAAATTGCTGATTGAATTGGCTGCTGGGGAATTCAAATGACCATCAGATGCATTCGACATGGAATGAGGCTCTCTGGACATTGTTGTGGGCATTCAATGGAAATTGTGCCAGTTTCTATTCTCTCGCCACCCTCACACTCGGAGGGCTGTAAATTTTTCAAGACACTCAGCACTTTGTCTTCAGCTTTATAGTCCACCTTTTGCCTCCTTTCTTCCTTCTCTCTCCCTCCAAATTCAGCTTAGGCATAAATAAGTTATTTGCCGAAGAATCAACGGTGCGATTTTCCTCAATGGATCCCCATCATGATCAATTCGATAATTTTGATAAAATCGCGCCCCTAATTTAGTGCCTTTTCTCTCTCTGGGGGAGACTCACTGGACCGTGGCCGGTGTAATTTATATTCAAAGTGGGAGGAAATAGCTCTTTTATATCCCTCAGAGGGTTGACTATTGACTTTGATATAGGCGCTCGCGTGGGGCCAACTCGGGAACCTTTTGTATACATAAATTTCGAATTCAAGAGCAGCCTCACTTCAATTTCCGCCGCTCAGCACCCATCCCTCATCCTCTGCCTGGGCTGGCCGAGGCTCAGGGTGGTTCGCAGGGTTGTTTCGCCGTTGCGCGGGAGTTGGGCGCGCCTCTGTGATCCATCTAAATGCATATTGAGCGCCAGAAACACCTCAATTTGCCTAAAGAAACACAACCCGGGCCGGAATTCCACCCCCACTCGGACAGAGCCCATTAGAATTTCATGGGGTGGTGGCGCTCTGTGTGCGGAGGTGGAATACACGAGAGCGGCAAAGTGGATTGGATCGGAAAGTGCAGTGTAGCGTCACAGACTCTAGTGGAGAATCAATTTTTGGCATTCACCCCACCTCGAGACTATTTACAATTTCCAATGAGACTCAAACAGACGGAATTTGAATTTAAATGGGAAATACATATGATATGTGGCCTCCTTTCCACACACAAACACACACAATTTGAATTTCCAATTGAGCACTGCAAACAATCCATTACTGCTCGACCTCCTAATAAAATTGATAAATTTCCTATGCGACACACAAAATTGAATATAAATTCTCCAGCGCACACGCGAAGTTGAATTTCACCCCCCCCCCAACTCTTGTGCTCGCGCGCACCCCCAAAAAACTTGGATGCCTTCCAGAGCCCACGAGAAGAAGAATCAAGTGAAGAAGATCCATTAAAACTTTTATTTTTGCCCTCCTCACACCACTTTTCGTGTGAGAGTGTTTCATGTAATTTCAATTTTAGCAATTCCTCTTCCCACCCCCATCCCGGGGCATGGCTCTTGACCAACCCCTTGCCATTTAGAGTGATTTCCACCATAAGGTGGACGGGCAGGAAAAAATGTTGGAAAAAAGTTCTTGACCCGCATGTTTATATCTTCTCGAGAGTGTAGAGAACACAATAAACAGCCTTTTAGGGGTTTTGTGAGATTTCATCGCTCAACCCCATGGCCGAAAAGGGGTTGAGGCCTGCCTCGAGAAGGGGTGAACTGTGTGCGGAAGGGTGTGTGGACCAGCCTATATGTGGAGTGTATTTGCGAGAGAGTGAAAAAAAAATTACATCTTGCTCGAGTCTATAAATTTCGTGACGCAACCCTTCCTCTGGGATTGGCAGCCAAATTCCCTCACACCCCGCTCAAGGTGACATTCCTCAGCCCTGGAGGATCAGGACCTCTTGGGGTGGTGGAAAAAATGTAAAACATGACATGAGAGGCTTGTCTCTGGGCGCCCTGCTGCTTGTTCACCCTCAAACTCCTTGTTCACACCCTGTTTTCCCGCCGAGAATTTATATACACGCGGATTTGGGATCCTCAGGGATGGCAGAAATACAACCCAGAATCGCACCCTCGATAGTCCATTTGAGAAAAGTTCTCAGATTGTTGAAAATGTCTTTAATAAAATAAAAATGTCAACCCACTTTTGCGCCCCCCCCCCCCCCCCAGAAAAGACTTTACAGCGAGGGTGAATCGCAGGGAAGTTTGCAAGTGACCAGGGAAATGTCACTTCAAGATGCCGCCCTGTAGGCATGCAGGAATCTAAGTTATGAGGTCGCCCAGCCGCTTCCCGGACGAGAGAGACAAGCTTGGGAATAAGCAGGATTCCACACGCTAACCCTTGCAGATTGGCCCTCAAAACCCCCCCAGAACAATCCCGAGTGACATAATTCACTTGTTAAACATTTCAATACACCCCCACAGTGACACTCTCGGCCAGGGAAGCTTCCCTCTCCCCCTGTTTGTATAAAATTTGCAACCATTTTTCTTTCTCAATGAACAGAGAATTCTTCAAATAACATCGGAGGAATTGCTGGGGCGCAGTTGATCGAATTTTCCTTTCGCATTCATCTCTCTCTCTTCCCATCCCCGCAGCCATTCAATTTATTGTGCACACACAAACGAGACGACCAAAGTCTTTTATTTCCCATTCAAATCAGTTAAACGGAATCCCAACCCCGTTGGAAAAAAGGGGCTCTGCTGGAAAAATGGTTGTCGAATTTTCTACGGGTGGCTAAAGAGATGTGAAGGGGTGGTGGTTCGTGTTTGATGTGCGCCAGGGGTTGCACAGAGACAAGACTTCGATGGCCTCAAATTACCCTCATGAGCAATCTCATGGCGGAGGAGAAATATTAATAATCCCCCAATTGAGACAATTTCAATTAGTGCGCGCACTTTTCCACTCCAATCTGTGGGCGACTCTCGGCGGCGGGTGGAGAGAGGGTTGTGGAGAGGGTTGTGCAGATTAAAATCACCGCACCCGTGCGCCAAAGAGCTGGAGAGCAGCTGATAAGGACGGACTTTAAAGGGGCGACCCTCATTGCCTTATCCCTTTCATCTCCACTCCTTTTCAGGGCGGCCATTTCAATCAATTTTTCAACATCAAACCATCGGCAAATGGCACGAAGTGAATTGAAAAAGTGAAAATGATTCTGCCAGGCGATTGGAATATTTATGGGTGCTTCGCGATGGCTTTTCCGCTCTTCTGTGTCTCTCCTAATAAATAACGAAAAATTGCGAATGGTGACAGAATTTGTGACGTTAATTGGCAAAAACGTGCGATTCTACAGCGCGAAAACTTTCGCCAGCAGCTCTTGTGCTGTTTCGCCACACACAAACACACCCAAACACACACACACAAACACACACCTTTGTGAGTGACACGAGAGGACTCCATCACGTGTCCCTGTTCTCAGGAATTTCATTTTATAGCACTTCAAATTGACCCCCCGGTGAATAAATGATGAGAGGCACTCAGCCGAAATCAGCAAAAGCACTTCTCTTTACAGTTTAACCCATTAGGGCTCTGAAAGGGACGCAGAATTTTCAATATTTGACAAATATTGGACCCTAGAATTCGGCATAAATTGATCCTACTTTCAATCTGCAGCTAATCCACAACATTTCCAAACACCCGCAGTTCATTTAGCCACCGCCAGAGGCGTCAAAATGTCATTTGCAACTCACCTAGACTCTTGGGCTTGGGCTGTGAGCCGTCACGGTCGCATCTCAGGTCCCGCTCGCGCTCGTTGTTGTTGAGACACTTTTCGCGCGGCGCGCCATCGAGCCGCGGCGGCATCAAGTGCGTGACGAAGGAGCGCTCGCGGCCCGGCGACGCTGTGGCCGCCGTGGGCGACGAGGAGGAGGAGGAGGGCGCCGAGGTGGCGACGGCGGCCAGCGCCCTCTTGGCCGCCTCGTGCTGCGCCATCAGCTCACGCACGGGAATATTGCTGTTCGTGATGGATTGCTGAATGGTGGAGTGACTGCTCGTGGCGGTTGACGCGGTGGTGATGGGATTCGACGGGACTGACGATTGCGGCATGCTGGCCGCGGCTACGGCAGCGGCCGCCAGCTGGTGGCGCCACTGCATCTCACTAACATTGTCTAACCACAATTTTCCTGCAAAGAAAGGGAGAAGGAGAAGACGTGAGTTGGTCAATTGAATGGGACGCCCTTCACGTCTCTAGCAGATGATTTCAAAGTAGGACACTTGAATACGAAATGGCGTTGGGGACCTGCATTTAGGGTTGATCGCTTCAGCGACTTCCCCCGTTCTTGAGGGCTCGAAATCAAATTACCACTTGATGTTCCCCGAGCCCTTTTTCACTCTGTGAATTTCCCACCCCGAGGCGCTCGGGCGGATTTTCAAGACACACAAAAGTGCGCGCAATGAGGTGGAAAATGGCGAAATGGGGAATTTTCCTCCATACTTTTTTTTTTTAATTAACCCTCCAGGTGTGGAGTGGCGCTGGGGGATGATTGTCTGCATGTGACTAAATGAGCGCCTCGGACACATTTCGTCGGCGGCGCATATCATCAACACCATTAGGAGACACACAATCTTGATGACGACGTCTCTGGTCATTGACATCCTCCCTCCGTTCGTCTCGTGTCCTTGTCTCCAGCATCGCACTCACACGGAGCGGAGGGTGAGAGCTGGACATTGTCATGTTGCTGACCACCATGTGCAGCCTCTCCTCGTCTCGCCATGCACACAACCGCACGAAGTGGGACAGAAGCGGCGCTCTCACTCATGCGCATTTCCATACGATCGATAAAGCGCCCCGTCCTCATATCCATACCCACGGATTGTGGGTGCCGCGGTCTGGGGGACAGACTCAGGCTCCATGGACTCCATCGTGCTGCTCTAATGGCACTTTGGCAGCTCATTATCGACACTCTCCGGTCTCGTGCTGCGCCAAACCCCTTTCTCACCCGCCATTTGCATAATCGACAGCGCCGCGCAACCCTTCTGCTCGCATTATGTAAATTCCCCCTGCACAGAAGAGCACACAGGAAAGAAAAGGGCTCTCACCTTCGGGGCGTCGTGATTTTGGCTCTTTTTTAGCAGCGCAAACACACACCCAACCCTCGAGCAGGGGGAGCGAGAGTTTTCATCGTTCAAATCGGATTGGAGAATCGTGTTCCACCAATCACAATTCATATTTTGATATTTTTCATTTTCCCCGCATACACGGATTTTTCATATCTCACCCCCTCTGGAGCGCGTCAAAAATTCATGGCCGCCCCACCGAATGCGTGGCACATTTCGGTGGGGATTTCAGCTCTTTCCGGCCTCTGGAATTTTCCACATTTCCTCCTCTCTCTCTCTCTCGCTGCTTCACAGAGAGCAAATCCCCGAAAGGTACGGACACAAGTCCAATATTGAAAATTCGAAAGGCAAACATCTCGCAAATGACGCTGCAGAAGTCGCTACAATTTCTCGGACGCGCGTCCCAATGGACAAATAAATATTTGATTAATATTTTTTTCCACTTGCTGCGCCTTCTATTTGCTCAGGCTCCTCGTCCGCCCCACAACCTCACACCACTCCTCGAGTATTGTTTCCGCCTTGGCATTAGCCGAGGAGCGCTTGATGAGGAGTCACGGCTAGTGCGAGCGAGGAGCGCTGATTTTGGCTAATAATATGGACATTATCATCACGTCTGCGTCCTTTTCAAGCCGGAATTCTTGAAAATCGTCCCTGAAATCAATTCCAGCACTTGGATTTTTAAGTTTCCAACCGATATTTCTGTTAGAATTCACTAAAACACGCTTTTTGAGTAATTTTTTGGACCATAACCTCAAAATATCTGTGAAAGATCTTCAAGAACTTCGTTTGGGAGCATTTTAGATCACAAAATCTTCTCTTACAATTTGTGGATGAAGTCAAAATGGCTGATTTTGAGTGAAAATCATCTAGAAAGTCTACTAAATAAACATTTTCCACGTTAAAATTACTATTTTTGAGGTTATATTTGACCTCAACACAAATTGTGGTGATTCTTGACTAGTTTATTGCTTTGTCAACTTTAGCATGAGAAATAATGTGCTGGAATGCGAATTATTCAATAAATCTGTCCTTAATTCGTTACATAACCTAAGAAATACTTCTTTGTATGCAAAAATCAAGGAGAATCCAAAGAATCGGGATCTTTTGGCAGCAAAAGAAGCGCTAATGAAGCGAAATGAGGTCCAAATGAGGATTGTCCAGATGATCCTGAAACATCGCTACAATCCCAGACCGTCTAGCCTTCCTCCGCCTATCAGTCCTTCATTTCGCTCTCTCTTCAGAGCTTCCATTGAGTGATTGATTCACTGGAGACTGAATCATAAATTGAATATAATTTTATTGGGCGGCCAATCGATCGATGTGTGTTTAAACATGACTGAGCGTCGAGCTTTAAGCAACTCCTGTCCTTCGTCCTTTCATCCCTCGGCTGATGACGCTCGTTTTTTCTGTGTCACACTCGCTCGTTTGTTTTTTTACGGTGCCAATATTTCTCTACCTGGGCGCCGCGGAGGATGCAGTTGGCGTATTTATTCTTCCGGGGAGTGCGTGTTGGACTCGTGCGCGCCAAAAAAGCATCACACCGCGTCAAGGGGTGAATTGGCTCGGCAGAGGGACATAAAAGCGAAACCCCTTTCCATTTTTGGCTCTCATCCTCACCGGGTTTTTTTTTCATTATTTATATGTAACACACATTTCTCCGTATGTAGCGAGTCACTAAATGTGATTTAAGGGGTTGATATTGTTGTAATTTATATATAAGGAGATTCGAAACAGAGATTTTTTTTTCTCTGCCTTTGTGAAAAGGTGGTTGTTCTCCAGCCATTCTTGTTCTTCTCTCGCAACTTTTTGCCGCCACTCTGGCCTGCATTCGCTGTTGACTGGGTATTTCCACTTCCGGAATTAATAATAAATCTATGTTTATGTGTACACACTCATTTTTTGTGCCCCCTCGCGACGACGGCTCTCCCATAGATACATACAATTGTGTGGTATTTCGTAAGGCAAACAAGACGGAGAGATGAAATATTTAAAAATTCCTGTATGCAAAATGCATGATATTTCCTCCGCGATAAAGTCCATCATCTTCTGAGTTGTAAGTCAAAAATGATGAGATCATAAATCAGGTAAAGTCGTCAGGTGATTTAAATATTTCACTGCCTGATGCGCTCTTCCTCTGCGCGGCATTTGCTAAATATTTAGATTTGTTGAGGCGTGAGAGGACGGGGTGAACAATAAAATGAATATATTCATGCCGCTCTTCTCTGTCTCATTCACATAATTCAACAGTGAGTCGGTAAATCTGAGGCCACTCTAATTTGCCCACTATTTACATAAATAAATCATTTTTTGGCTGCTCAATTACAATTAATTAAATGTTAATTGAATATAATTCCGAGCGACTCCTCTTCAGTGGCCTAAAATATTACTCCTTAGCACGTCATATCGCCTGGGCGACGAAGAAGACGCGCGCACGAGGGAATTGAGCCAAATTATATAATTTTTCAGAGAGCCATTAAGAGATTGAGATCGATAGGAATCTCGGATGCCCTATCTTTATCCCCTTTCTCTCCACTCTCTCTCTGGGCAAAAGCCCATCATTTGGCTGCTCTCGCCATAAATCCATCAACAGTTTGCCATCTTATCGTCTCCACCTCGTCAATTTCATTTTAAATCCATTACACAATAAGACCATCGCGAGCTTCTCGATCGGAATCACACGCGAAAAGTAAGTGCCACTGGAAGAACTGTACATTTGTCGACTTGACACCCAACCAGAACTCCTAATCAATAGCAAAGGGCAAGGGGTAAATATGTGGCGAAATCGCAATTGACTGAGAACGTAATCTTTGCAATCTCAAGCGTAATTCACAATCCTGAGTAGAATATCTTAGGATAGATTTTAGAATATTTGTGGATAGATTTTGGAAGATTTGTGAATAGATTTAGAATATTTGAGGTTAATTTTTAGAAAATTTGAGGGTATTTGTAGAAAATCTGAGAATGATTGTAGAAAAAATTGCTTTAATCTATCAAATTATACTTAAAATCTATTCTCTTTTTACTAAAATCTCTACTTTTAATTATTAAGATATGCTTAGTCGAATACGAACAAAATTCCCAGAAAAACTACCCTAATTTTGTTGATATTCTGTTTAATGCCCGAAATTAAACCAAATAATCGGAAATGATCAAAATGTCGCTGGAACGCAATTTTTGGGCATAATTACGCGATCTTCGCAATTCGGGTTTACTCAGAGTGACACATGTTTACCCCTTGATAAAGGGTCACTTTTCCATGCTCATGATTCTTTCCAGTGGCGAAAAACGAGATGCATTTCACTCTTCTCGCTCTCGCCAATGATCAAAATCCACAATTCACCTTGAGAGCACACCGAAAAGTCCATGGCAGATGTTCATCTGGGGATGTGTGAGTGAAATTTTTGGAAAAAGAGGCATTGTGTGTCCCTTCGGGATGCACAAATTTGTGATCAAAAAGGACCTGATTGATTTATGTACGATTGCCAGGGTGTCTGATGAATGCACCCCCGCAATCGGTCAGATTTTGTGCAATTTCTTGCACCGAAAAGCGAAGAAATCTTCATCACATGTTTATTCAGGCTTGCAATGGAGTTGCCAAGATGTGTTATGTTGCAGATGAAAGAAGATCTCTCAATGCAACTCCTTTTGAGCTTGGGCGAATAATAAGGGAAATCCTCATTGGATCGTCTTCCAAATATCCCCGTGAATTTATATTCAATCGCATTTCAGGCACGCAAACGTACAAAGGCTGCGCACGCCAATGCTCAAAAGGATCTTTCACAACCCTTCCCCCAAAAGAAAAAGGGAGATTGACGGCCTGAAAGGCTGAGCAACTCCTTCTATGGTGATTAGAAGCGAGTCTTCCGCTGCGAAAGGAAAAAGGGTTGTGGAGAGTCTTTTAAATTAATACGTTTCATATTCAACCCTTTCGCTTTTTAAAGTGGCTGCGCAGACACCTTTTCCTCCCTTGTCGACGGCGATCAGATGATTAAAATGCCTTGGCAATGGCACGTGACTCAATTCAACCTTCGATCGTTATCGCGATATTGTTGCAAATTACTAATTA